GTGTGTCCTTGACTCAATGCAGGACGTTCCAGTACGTACTGCAGCTGCAGGATGTGCAACAGGATACAATACAATAGAGCTGGAAAGTAATCAGGCAAGTTGATGTAAGCATGACAACGCTGCAAAAATGTAAATCACGGTTGCCTGTTGCCTGTTTTTCATCTTTTGCAACAGTCATGACATAATCCTGGACAGCTATTCCCCCTGTAGTCTATGTAAATTTACTCTTTGAAAGGATGAAACTGTAAACATTGTCTCATGGAGTGCTTCAACCAACAAGAGTCTAGGTGGGGTCAGAACTGGTTGTGTATCTTTCAGGTCACTAAAGGCATCATTCTGCTTTTTCTACGGCTGTCCTCACATTTTCTCATTCTAATGATGGAGTCACTGAAGCTCAGGTTACGACTATGTCAAAGAACTGCCACACCTGTTGCGACCTGCAATTTGCCACTTGTGATGACAGGCACACACAAGTATACAAGCTAATGTAATTGCTCCCACAATGCAAAGGTACACACAAGCTTTCACGTATACATGTATGTGCATAGACAGAAGGACAAAATGCATCTGAAGGAGATTTAAAAATAGAGAAAATGGAGTCCTGATACACATAATCCACAGATACACAGAACAAATACACCTCTAAACACACAAACACTGTCAACAAGCAAGATGGCAGTCAAAGCAGACACAAATGAACACCTGCTGCTGAGTAGTACACTCAGTGTGTGAACTGAGGTCAGTATCCCGTTGCAGCAAAGTGTGCACCGCCCCTACATGGCCTCTAGATACAGGTTAAAGCAGAGGTGCCCATCCACATGCCCCTCAAACAGAACCTGTGACCATTCCACGTCTTCATGCTGCTGTGTGTCTATACATTCCACATTGACAAGAGCATGTTGTTTTTACTGCTGCGCTTTTGTCTCACCTGTGTGTTTATGCCTGCTCCTTTCTTCACCAGTGAGGTGACGATCTCTGGCCTCCTCTAACAAAACTGCAGAGTGATCACTGCCATCAAGCCCAGCGACTGAAAGGTGTACAGTATCTCTAAGAGACACTAGATGTTGTGGGAATACAGTCATCTGTGGAATTTGTCATGGCCTCTCCAAGTGACAAATATAGAGGAGCCTGTCTTTCCTCTAATGATAAGGGTGGTCTCTCACTCATTCTAAATATAAAATAATCTCAAATCTAAAATAAATTTAAAATTAAATTATTGGAGTTCTCCTGTAGTTTTTAAATTATATCCAAGAATTTCAGAATCACAGCTGAATCACAGGTAGTTTATGAATTTATGGACTATGTGTCAAGACAGTCATCCGTCCAGTCCAAGTGTAATGCAGCACTCATTTGAAAGTGTGCTAATTCGTCATTCTCTTAATTCCACCTTCATCATCTCTGTAGGCAAGCCTGATCTCACCTCCTTGAGAACTGCTAAGACTTCCTCTGCCTCTGTGTCAAATGATGCATCCAGAAATGGATTCTACAGCTGCTGCACTTCCTTTTTCCTCTTCTTCCTCCTCCTACTCTTTCCTTATCAGCGCCACAAAAGCCCTGACACAAGTTGGAACAATAGATGAACACATACTTTCCCTTGTAAATAAAAAAAAATGTTTTGTCACTGCAGAACTAAAGTACTTTAACAGGGACTGTTCAGTAGATCTACTCACCACAAATACAAATTATTACATTACAAGTGTCTACAGCCATGCAAGTGGCCAAAAGCTAACATCAGCATGTTTACAAAAGCCATGCTAATATGCTGAAGTTTAAAAGGTAGGTAATCCTAACCCCTATAATTTCTTTCCCTTTTCACCATCTTAATGTAGCACGTTAGCATGCTAATATAATATGTATGTAATTAGCACTAACACAAAGTAAGACTGAGGCTGATGTGAATGTCATTAGTTTTGATGATATTTTGTCATAAGCCAAAGTACAGGACAAATTATATGAAAAGTTGAGGGATCGGCCTAAAATTCATCCTAAGGGGAACATGGATGTCTGGACCAAAATTTCACAGCAATCCATCTGATAGTTGAATAGATATTTCACTCAAAACCAGTGTCAACCTCATGGTGGTGCTAGTGGAAAAGTAAGCAGCTCACCGAAGTCAATAGGATTCATCATATGGGGACCATGAATCTGTGTACAAATTTTCATGGCAATCTATGCAATATTTGCAGTGGGTCAAGGATAGAGCTTTTAGGACCACCACAGTTAAAATGGGCAACAGAGGAACATGCATTTGCTATGACAACAGAGACGGTTCTATCAGAGAGGTATGAACATAGTAGATTTAGACTAGAGAAGTTCAAGACCAACCCAGACATAGACATGTGAGTTCTCACATTAAAAAATGCCTGCCACCACCTGTTGCACCCCACCCTACAATTGAAGTTATACTATTATGTTCATTATGAAAGCATTTTGTGGTCAGCTATTACTTTGAAGTTATACAGTTATCTTTCTCTTTAATGTTCTGTGTTGATAAATTGAATTTAAATGATATAAAGTTTCAAGAATTTATTCACACAACCAGCTACAACCAAGTACTGAGTACTTAATATTTATTAACAAAGTGTTATATACTGACCTCTCTCCAGTTCACACATGGGAGCTTCATTGTCGGGGTCTGATACATGGCACGCTGGATTTGTTGTTGAAACCCAAGCCTCTAAAGGTGCATCTATCACAGCTACACTGGTGTGTAAGATGTTGATTATTGAACAGGATCAGCATAATGTGGAAGAGCCCATACTTTAATAAAAATGGACTGTTTACACTAAAATGTCATAAATCTGAGTATATATCAGGCATGAACGGTATCTCGTAACACTTTGAGTAAACCAGACTTAATCTACAAGGCCTCCATGTACACACAGTTATCAGCTGAATCTAAAATACTCTGCTGTTGTCTACTAGAATATTTGTTTACCACAGTAGATACTGCGTTTTTGTTCACCTTCAACAATAAGCACGGTTCATTTTGACATTGTGTTATCGCATAAATCATATCTCTGTATGTTTGACTCACACATTCCTGGTTAAATGGAGGGGTAGGGTTCCAGCACTGAGTCAGTGCTTGGTCAAGTTCATGTCTCATAATCAAGGCTGTCAGTCACAAAACCAAAAGGTAGAACACCAAATGTGTATTTTTCTGTGAGCCGCAGGGGTTAAAAGTGTGCTGCGGTGAATGCTGTTCACGGTATGTAGTGTAACAACTATCTATGATCCGAGTGAGCATTCATTTTGATGTTTCTATTCCAACTTCTCCTCTGTGTGTCTTGGGTGGTGCCTGGAGGGAACAATAAGGGATTGTCTTCAAGTCTTCACTTGAGCAGCTACATTGCATCACTTCCTTTACTTTAGTTACATCAGATTTCATCCTGACCAGGCTATTTTAGGTCTGAGTGTGGAGCAACCCTTGAAGGAAAAACACTGTATTAAGTCTATCCACATCTCTCCTTTCAGGGTTTAACAAAACATGAGCTATGAGGTCCTATCTTGGGATCTTAAATGGCTTTCCTCCAACTTCAAAGCTAGGTTTCCACATTAGCACTCTCACTAACCCACAAAGTAAAGATATATCACAGCCTCTCTCTGTAATATCGCTAGTACTGTAAATGTGCAAGGAAATTGTTAATTAACCATGAAAGGACACGAAGGAATGAATTTTGGCACCATGTCGGCAGTAAAAGCCTTTCACTCAGGCTTTGAGCCTCTGTCCTGCCAACTTTGTGATGCTCTGCTGTTTATTATGTGTTATTACTGCCTCTGTTGTTGACATCCTCATCATAGTAAGAAATTTGATGTTAACACATGATGATGTTTATTTTTACCATCCATGCATCTAAGTTAATACCCCACAAATGACACACTACACTCTTTACTCGAGGCTGACCGCCTGATAGCATTCTCATCGTAGGTACTGTTCTGTTACCTAGCCACTTCTAGCCATTTTATTAGTGTTTTCATTCAAAATATAATGCAGGTCTTATTATTTTTGCCTGGCCACACCCCCATGCACAGATAGATGTATAGGTAAAGGGGACATAGTGTAGGGGGCCTACGATGTCACTCAGTTAATGGCCATGTAAGAGTTTAAGAGGTAGCCTGTTGTAACTCCATATACTGTACATTTACCAATGAAAACACTATAGCTTAAACTAATTACATTGAATTATATGTTGCTATTTATCTTCCTCAAGTGTGATTTCTTAATGCATATAATTAGGTGCCACCCTTTTTATAAAATGCTGTTCAATAAGTCACTATTTACAAAAGGTTTAGAAGCAGGGCTGAATTAATTTGGGCAAAAATCAGCAATGAGCCCTTACTGACCACCTAGATCATTGTGTATGCAGATTTCTTTAAGATAATTTTACTAACCAAAAATGTATCTAGGAATATGTCCCATGTAAGCACAATAACTGAAATGTTAGGCCTTTTACATTTTCATTCAAGGCCTCTCTATAGGAGGGCACCTTTTATTATTTACCTTATTTTAATTCAGGTATACTGAACGTAAGTGGTACACATTACCAAACAAATCTCCGATTAATCAGACCACTAGAAGTTAGTGCCACACAGTTGGAGTATTCAAGTCCCCTAAAGGTCTGTGACCCCAGAGTGCTATGACTAGAAGGTAATCCCCCCCACAGATATTTCACAATAAAGTTGGGTTATACCTGTAAAAGACAGGTGAGAATGTCCGGGTGAAATGATGAATAATATAAGATTGAGTAATGATAAATGCTTTAAATATTAATGAACATGAGAGGTGAGTTTATGGGCCGGTCATTACCTGTTATAAAACGATAAAGCAGTTAATAGTAGCAGCAGTTACTCAGCTGGAGCCGCAGTAGGCAGATAACATGTGCAGAGTTCAGCTGCCTCGGGACAAGCATGGACACAGACACAGAGCTGTGAAGAGCAGAAGTGAACAAACTGTGGAGCTCCAGTCGAGGCGGGGCGAATTTTGTCGACTGCAGTTTTCCTCTGAGGGCTCTGTCTCAAATATTCTCGCCGACAAGCCTCGAGCATGACAATAAACTGGTTTAGCTGGGTGAAGGGGGAAAAAACAATGTAACTCAACTCTTTCGATAAGTCCCACCTGGACTAGACGCACGACGCAATTGCGGAGGAAAACGCGGCGAAGAAGACAAGATGACTGGCTTAAAGTTTAACCGACGAGAGGATTGACGAGTGAATATTAGTGAGGTGAGTTCTCCTAATAACGTTAGGCCATAATTGTATTATATAGATAAATAATGAGTTTAGGACACGGAGCTTAACATATGGACAGCGCACGCGGACCTGTGCTACAGTACTTCGCTCTTTTTAAAGTTTCTGACATGTCATCTAGTGGAAAGACGATTGTACAGTTCTTGAAAAGACCCCCAGGACTTAAAAATTGCTGACAAAAAACTGTTCAGTCGGTGATCTATTCCGTTTTTAGGTTCTTAGGTGTTTTGTTTGGACCTTGGGGTTTACTTTCGGTATTTCTCATATATGTCGCTTTACTTGAACTTGCAAATGGAGACTTTTGGGATTTCGGTCAGAGGGAGGAGCCACACCCATAATCATCTATCCTGTGGTCAGATTCCATCTTCCCCTCTGCTATGTTTGATTCTTCTTCTATATTATTCTACCGAAGGGTCCCTGTGATTATGGCTCCATCGCTTGTCTGCAGATTCTGCAGATATGACCAGGATGAGCTGAACCCATTGACTTAAAGCTTCTAGGGTAAAATAGCTGTAGAGCTGACATAGATGATTGGATTATTATTATAACATTAATACAATAGTATATCTGATTTTGAAATACAGTTGAATTATCGTTCAGCACTCTAGTTGAAACAGATGTGTGGTGTGGAAAGTTTTCATACTAAAATACAATAAATTTATCACGTCTTCTTTTGCCCTTACCCTCCATAGACAACAGTATGGCACGTCGCTCTCAGTGCTCATCTGCCGGGGATAACCCCCTGGATCCCAACTACCTCCCTCCTCACTACCGGGAAGAGTACCGCTTAGCTATTGACGCACTGGTTGAGGAGGATTTGGAAGGATACTACAAGTTCCTCCAAAAAGATGATGTGGTGGACTTCCTGTGTACACCTGAGATTCAGTATATTCAGAGCTCTCTTCAGGTCCCTCAGCACAGCCACCACCCTGAACAACATTTTCTGGAGACTGGGGGAGATGGCTCTTCAGACACCTACTGGCCGATTCACTCTGACCTGGATGTCCCAGGTTTGGACCTCGGCTGGCCTCAGCTGCATCCCTTCATTGGGCCCACAGAGGTCACCACTCTGGTCAACCCCCCAGAGCCCGACATGCCGAGTATCAAGGAGCAGGCCAGAAGGCTTATCAAGAATGCTCAGCAGGTCGGCCTTTCACCTTCTTTATAAATGGATACTTCATGCCAAACTTGACTTTGAATTGTCAACATCAAACTGTCCTGACAGTTTTGTTTTCAAACCGGTTCTGTTTGTATCTTTTATCCTCTTAGGTCATTGCTGTAGTGATGGACATGTTTACTGATGTTGACATTTTGGCGGATATTCTCAGTGCTGCCATGAGGAATGTTGCTGTCTACATCCTTTTAGACGAGCAGAATGCACATCACTTTGTCAACATGGTGTCCAACTGCAGGGTCAATCTACAGAGCATCCAAGTGAGTGAATATTCCTTAAAAACATTACATTACAATTTGATACAGACACTTTAATAAAGCTGCATTATAACACTAAATTCAATAAACAAAACAGAAAAGTAAATTTATGAATGCAGTAACATTTAATTAACTACTTTTATATTCATTACACTTTGACTACAGTTTGACTACAGAACCTGAAAAACATGAAATATGCTGATTCACTTTTAAATACTTAAAGGTATAGTGATATTCTGTATTTTTCTTATTAACAAATCCCATGAAAAGATCAAATACATCAATGAACTGATCCAACTAACAAGTATTGTCTGTGTATCTAAAGCATGATATAGTTTATTCCTCTGTGCCGCAGAGCTAGAAAAACTCTTGAAAACATTATTGAGCCACATTTCTGCACTGGGTGTTTCTTCATTATAATAAACATAGGCATTGTAGTTTTATTTTTATACACTCCCATGTTTACTGAGTAGCCGCTGTAAATTTTCACTGCAGCACCAAATATATAGTTTAAAAAGAGTGACCAGTTGTTGCAAATGTTGAAATGTATTTTTGCAGCCTCTTTTTAAAGATTTACATCTATGGCAGGAATGAATGGGCTTGGAGCTTAAAGAAACAGATAGGGAAGGGGAAGTTGCAAAGTACTCAGACCCATTTTGGTCTTTTCATGGTATTTGTTGACAGTAGCAGAAATATAGAACACTGCTACTCATACTGTTTACCAGTCTTACTCCAGCCATTTTAGCAGAACTTGAGAAGAAACGCTCAAGTACTGTAAGTGCACCACAGCTGTTAGTAGAGATGACCCAATAATACAAATAAAGAGAACTTGCCAGCCGACTTTTAGAAACCTATCACATCCTATTATTAGAAAGTCAGATATTTAATAGCACCTTGAATCTTACATGCTATATAACATCATAATTGCTTATGATGTTTTTTCTTGTGTGTTACTTTATCTTGTTCGTCATTTGCTTTAAATGCTGTACAATATGTTTGCTTACTGTGTATGCTTTATGCCTCATGTGTATGCCTATAACACTATGCTATGCTGTCTTTTGTAATGCTGAGTTTCTTCTGTCAGATTTGTTTTTATGTGAGCTGAAATGCAGCCATTTGGAGAAATCTGGCCCATTTACATCACATTCATGTTAATTAATATGTATTGTCCCTGATATATATGGTGAATATAGATGTTAAAGGATTTTCCCATCGATAGAAATCACAGTAACTGCATTTTACCGTAAAAGGGAACTTGAAATGCAGCCATTTTCTATCTTCTGATCTCAAAGGTGTTTGTGTTAATGCAATACTGCCACCTAGCTTGAATTGCAATCAACAACACTAACACCGCTAGATACTAGATAGATAGTACTACTTGGGTTCAATATATATGTGTGTCTTGCAGTTTTTACGTGTGAGAACAGTGTCTGGCATCACGTATCACTGCCGCTCAGGGAAATCCTTTAAAGGTCAGATGATGGATCGCTTCTTGTTGACAGACTGCAGGGCTGTGTTGAGTGGAAACTTCAGGTGAGGCCATTTAAAATTGTCACAGAAAGTCATACTTCTACACTTCACGCCATACAATGATTTGACAAACACATTTATATTCAGATTTTTTTTGATGAACGTAATCAATTTGCATGTGTTTGCGTTAAAAAAACATGAGTATGCAATACTCTTACAATAAATGAAGTGCTTCTGTTAATTCCCACTTTTTGTCATGTTTTTGTACAGCTTCATGTGGTCTTTTGAGAAGCTCCACCGCTGCATGGCACACCTTTTTCTTGGACAGCTCGTAGCAACTTTTGATGAAGAGTTTCGGATTCTGTTTGCTCAGTCCCAACCACTGATGATTGAAAATGTGCCCACTCCAATGGAAGAGTTTAGCCTTTTACAAAAGAGGCAATACCCAAGCGAACGAACATCCTTTTACAGGGATCCTAGGAAATTTCTATCACTGGACACCGTTCATCCAGAGGACCGGGTTAGACATTCCTGTGATGAACGTATGGATGTGGATTGGAGAATGATACCACTTAAAAGGCAGGGATCCCTGCATGGCCCTTCAGATATGTACAGGTTTCCCTCCCAGCAATCTCACATGGATCCGCCTTTTGATCAGGGTCCCCCCAGGAAGCCCATGGTGGAAAATACTGCCTTCAAACGTCACAGTTATGCTGAAGGTGTTCATGGTAGATTCTCTTACCCGTTCTTGCAGCAACAGGGAATGCCAGAGCCTGAGAACCAGGGAAGGACGTTTCACAGGGGGCAGCAGCCCTATCCAGGGTCCGGACCAGGACCAGAAGCAGATTACAGTGGCTATGACAAGTTCTGGAACCAAGACCATCATTCAGCAGATCAATACTCTGAATCTGGTTTACCACAAGAGAGGCAACCGTCTGATAACTTTGACCCTGTGCTTAACTATTTATCATCTACCAGAAATGTAGACTTCGACCAGGGCTCGGAGAAATTACCTGCAGCAGATTTACCATTCAGTTCATCTCACCCTAGAAGACTGAGCTTAGGCCAGCCATATGCCTGTCAAACCTCTCCCACTGCTTCAAATCCAACTGATCAGAAGCAGTTTTTCCCGGAGCCTAACACTGACCGCAAGGATCCTACAGTGAAACGAGGGCTAAGAAACTGGAGGATTAGCTCATACCTCAGTGCATATGATAATCCAGGAGATGAAGGCCTCCCACTGATGCCAACTCAGGCACCAGACCCTTTTGAAGAGCCTTCAAACCCTATACAACAAACAGCACCAGGATTAGATGTGTCATTTCCTAAAATCCCAAATGTTAGAGAGTTTAAGGTTCCTGCAATGCCCAGGGCAAGTCACCTGCCGAATTATATGAAAACCACTGTACGAGAGCAGCCAAAGAAATTGCCTGATGAACCTACTGCAGTGGCAGCAGAATCTAAAACAACACCAACACCTTCAGAATCATCGTCCACAGCTGAAGGGGAAAAGACAGAGGAAGCAGAACAAAAAGAAACAAAAACCACCGGTCTACGAAGGGAGGAGTCATTCCGTAGGAAGTACAATGCTGCAGTGCCAAGGAGCTCCAGGTTAAGATCCTCTCTGATATTCAGCTCTCTTGAGCAGCAGCATGCTCCTCAAGATACCAAAACTGCTCCAGGCCAACAGGATGAGGAAAGTGACACAAACGAAGCAGAACAGACCAAATCACCTTTTGTTTCACAGGTTTTAGGAAAAAGGCGACCTGCAAGAGAACCTTTTGAATGGAGCCGTTACATAAAGTCAGCCACAGAAACGTCCAAACCAGACAATGAAACCAGTAAAGCAGATGATAAAGATACATCAAAGGACGAAAATTCAAAGGATCCAGATACAGAGAAAACAGATTCTTCACCATCAATGCCCCAATCCAAACCTTCTGAAAACAAAACTGATCAACCAGTACAACCACATAAATCTTTGCTCACCACTCCTTTGAATATAGATATGAATGATCCTGATAAGAGGCTCTTGTTCTTCAAAGAGTTGGCAGCAAAACGCAAAGCCGCTAAGGCAGCAGAAGCTGAAAAGAGCAAAGACAAGGCTCCGATGAAACCACCAAGTGAGCTAAAAACCAATACCACTGTTAAAAAGGAGGAACTTGAACCAAAAGAAAACTCAGAAAGGATGGCTAATACTTCACCGTCTGTGGGTTTATCCCCAAAAAATGTTACTGCAGATGATGCAAATAAAACAGTAGCCACAGAAGCCTGTGAGTCGGTCAGTCTGTCTTTAGATGCCAGTGATGAGACTAACAAGCATGACAGTCATGTCAAAAATGAACCCAGTATCTCCCAAAGTTGTAAAGAGGAAGAAACCAGAGTTTCAACTGTTACAGAGAAGACAGAGCTGAAAAACAGCCAACCAGGAGCTTCTCTGCTTGTTTCTGCAGAAACAGAATCTCCTCCAAACAAACCTCCTGAAGACCCAAAGCTGTCAACACCCGCTGTAAAAGAGAGTAGCCCAAGTCATCCACCTACACCAACAAATGCTACCCCTGCTACTGTTCCTACTCTTGTGCAAGGTACTGATGAAAGTGAAAGCCCAAAGCTTAATTCTACCTCAAAGGAGTCCAGTTCACTCCCTCTTAGTTCAGTGGAGGTCCCACCATCTTCTGCATCTGCTGCGTTGAATTCTAACACCCAAAATCCTGAATCAGTTCAGTTAGAAACCAGCATCTCCTCCCCTGCATCTGAACAGCAGACTGGATCTGAGTTGAGCTCTTGTGACCAATCAGTTAAAAGCTCTTTCTCTGATCACATTCTGTCAGATTCTGGTTTACAGATCGGTCCAAGTCCTCCAACCTCGGAATCTGCTCCTCTTTCCACCCCTGAAGAGACTTTATCTTCTAATGTTACCCCAAAAGACTCCAGCTCCACCCCCTCCTATAGCATATTGTCTCCAAATTCTGATGAAACAGAAGCACAGGAATCTGTCAGCTCCTCACCATGTGAGTCATTCCAAACAGCTGACAAAACTTCTACAGTATCTACAGAGTCTAAGCAAGCTCATCCAGATCCCGTTTCCCAGTCGATGTTGTCTGAGAACCCTTCAGCAGTTGTCTCTGCACATGGGGAATCTGATATTTCTCCTGATGCACACACATCCTCATTAATGTCCACCACAAAGACAAACTCTGAAAAATCTTGTGTTCCTACACCTTTGGAAAAATGTGTACCTGAGCCAGAAAATGACTCTGTTCTAAAGGCTGTTGCAGAGGAATCTGAGGTAAGATCCTCAAAGGACGTCAAAGCTGATAGCACACCACCTAGTCTTAGCCCCTCATCACCCAAGTCAGGTTTACCTAATGTATCTGATCTGGGAAGTTCTGCTTCCAGACCTGATCAAATTGACACAATCACTCCCCACCCCCAACGTGAGCATGCCCCATTAGAAACACGCTCTCCTGTCAATCCAGACAACACTCCTATTGTTTCCCAGTCCATAACAAATGCATCTCCACAAGATGCATTAACACGTACAGCCACTCCCTCTGAACTTAACCTGACAGGATCTGTCCCTCCTGCTCCTGTTGAAACAGAGTGCTCTTCTCCTCTAACTGAGTCAGTTGCATCAGTTTTGTCCCCTGGGGCTAAAAAAACAGAAACCAACATGTCTACATTGTGCAGCCCCTCAGATACACCCTCTCTTCCCAAGATTACAACAGACTCGAACAAAATTCCAATGCTCCCATCAACAGAAGCTTCTAGAGCAACTGAGCCTACCTCAAAAACCCCAACAGAGCCAGAGCCAACCCCTGGATCTGTGACTTCTGAAAGCCAACCTTCAGAGCCACCCGTGCCTGCTGAAAATAGTAAAGTAGACCATCAGAGTGAAGTAAGCAAAGAGCCTGAATTGCCCGACCCTGGTGAGAAAAATCCAGAGGACACTGAAGCCACAAATAAGATCAATAAAAGCACTATGCAGGAATCTGTCAAAAGTGAAAAAACAAATGACCAAGTAAGGCAAAATAACCGCTCTGAACCGGCAGAGATCACAACAGAAGAAGTCGTTCCTCTGTCACCACACTCCAAGCAGCCAAAGTCTCGCTACCACTCATCAACAGCCAATGTGCTCTCAAGCAGCAACCTCAGAGACGATACAAAGCTGCTTCTAGAGCAGATTTCTGCTAATAGCCAGAGCAGGAACGAGGCCACCAAGGAGTCTCCTGTCACTGATGACGAGAAAGAAGATGAAGCTGACAAAAATGCCAAAAGGGAGAAAGAAAGAGGGATCAGGACACTCAGCAGAGGGCAGCCTAAGTCAACACAGGAAAGGGATAAGCTGCTGGAGAAGATCCAGAGCATGAGGAAGGAGAGGAAAGTTTACAGTCGATTTGAGGTATGAATACATAAGACACCATTGTTACCATCACCTATTTAAATGCACCTTTGTTTGCCTATGGGATAAATCATTTTGTGTCTCTGCTACTTTCACAGATGGCACCTTAACTGGTATTTAAAGAAAGTTAAGAGAAAAAACAGTGCGCACAGTAAGTGTAGGAAGAAGGTGAGCTCAAGTAAAAACTTTGAATGATGAACAACACATGCTCTCACCGAAGACATGAACTGCAAGGGGTAAAACTAATACAAAATAATACAAACCTGTTGTCCATGTGACATGTACTATGTTCAACAAAGGGCTTCTTACTGTGGGTGAATCACCAAGTTGCTACCAGTGAGAAGTACATGGACTGAGAACATATGTGGGATTAAATACGGTTTTACTGACTGCATGGGTAAAGTGCAATGTGTGCAACAGATTTTTTCTATAATTATGCCTGTCTTTTTTTTTTTTTAAAGCATTGACAGCCATTACATAAATGTCAGCTGGTTTTCAGGCAAAATGTGATGTTAAAGTGTAATAGATGATCTAAAATAGTCAGAAAACCGTAGTTTGTATCATAGTGTTTCACAATCATGTTAAATAAAAGATGATTATTACACATAGCCTACATGTATTTGTGAAATAGGTGGATATTTAAATTCATATCCATGAAAGGCTGATATTTTTTACATGTAAATAAATTGTAACTTTAATTCTTTGTAATCTGAATTATACATTGAATTTAAAATGGAAATAAACCTGAGACTGAAACAGGATACCATCTTAAACATATGTACAATATAACTGTGTAAATCATTGCACACTATACAGTGTGTAGTGTTTTTGGTTTCTTTTTTCTATTGAATATTGTTTAATAGGAATCGTTGAGGTTACATGTCATTTTTAAAAACGACATCTGGTTGATTTAAAGGATTATTTCACCAAAATTACCTAAATCATCCAAAGTATTTATACACAGTAAAATTAATTGTTTTTATTTTGATGATTTATGAAACACTTGCTTTTAAAGTGTTTGAATTTGGCCATTTAAAGCCAAAGCTATCAGAAAATATGGGTTTTTTTGTAATTTGCTACAACTAACCCTTTAACTGTCTTTGAACATCTGCCTGACCCTGTAATTTAAATGAAAACTTGCCATACCTGTACATTAAAACAAGAAATTCTAAAACCGCAAAGAATTTACATAACAGTAGATAGTGTTGTGCTTATTATAATGGATTTATGATACGTATCTTCTGCAACATTTTATATTTGTAAATAAAGTTTCTTAAAAATTAGTTTTTCTGGCTCCTGTGTGTCTGATGTTGCAAAAGCAAGTTACTTATAGAAGCTAAACTGGTTCAGTTAATGAGATAAGGAAAGTATTATTATTACATATATCATAAAAGGTGTTTTTCACAGCAGACATTTTGACTTCTCATAACAGAGAAAGCACAGTGTGAATTATTTTTCTTCTTCAGCTTAATAAGTTGATCTGTGCACCAATTTATACTTCATGTAATTTTTTGCAAGTTCACAGATATGTTATACACAGATTTTGGTCATGTATCGTAGTTTGCACTATACCACACGTTAAAGAATCACCTGTATCTTGATTACATCATGAGAAACACATCATGGTTATGTCATTATGACTTATTTAACTAGTGATTCTCAAGATTACACAAGCTGTCCCAACATCTCATGAGTGTCTCACCACTTTCCTCCATCACCACCCTCAGGCCAAAACATATGCATTAACGTAAACATTAACATATGCATTAACTACATACACCACGGAAAACATGAATCCTGCAGAATATTGAATTACCTGCAGCTGTGTATCACCAAATGACCATATTTCACTCTCATCAAGGTATTATTTTAACATTTGCTGTCACTACAATACAGACTGATTCACTCAATGCTTCAAACATATATAGCATATCATGATATAATGATCATCATGTGGAAAAGAATTGCAGTGTTGAAGGATTGAATCATTTTTTGATTATTTCATAACAATGAAAAAAAATGCACTCATGCAATTATGCCATCGGACATATCCTTTGTGTCAGTATGTTTCGTTTCCCCTCCATAGGAAGGTCAAAGGTCAAAGGTCAAGCACAACGGCTAAACAACATACCTGATGCTGACATGGATTTTAGTGTCGCTCAAAGAAACCTCAGTGCCACCTTCTAGCCTGTCATAATCACTTCTAGTGTCTTTATGTAGGGATCCTGATTCGTTTACTTAAACTGATTTACTTACTTTGTGGGGCTTCTCTTGCAAAACACTGAAACCCACTGAAACCGATTAAGCTCTCACTGTGACTGAAATTGCCACCAGTCACATGCTACTGTGTGTCGGTTATGAAAGAAGGAGTCGTTTGCATCATAAGAAACAGTGGACCTCTTGTGGGGTTACAATGTCGTTTTGCCTCCACTGTTTGCAAATGTCTTGATAAGCTCGTGCTGAATTACACTAATCTTTAAAGGTCCCTCACTGCCTTGAGTGCCTCGAGTCTAAAGGGAAAAGACACACTTTTCACTATTTAATAGTACTTTTCCCAGTGTTTAATTCATTTTGTTGTTTGTTGAGGATCAGTATACGCTTACGTTAGAATGACTTCAACCCTGGGGAGAGTGTACCACATCACAGCATTCAGCTGGTATGCTTTTGTTGTTAAGTGTCTCGCTGCTAAGGATGGAGAGAAATTACCACCAGGAATCTTTGTTTATGGAGGACCTTGGAAGTACCTAACATTTTTGAATTTGGTGAGTACATTACCTCTATTATCTACCTATTACAGTGCATTAGTATACAATAATAAATCTTGCAGATAAAAAAAAAGAAAAAAAAGAAGAAAAAGGGATCACAGAAACAAAAAATGTGGCTTATATTTCAGTTATTGCAAATGTCATTCTTTGGACTGGCAGCTCTGAATGATCTACAAGCTGGGAAAAAGTCAGAGACTACTCTGAGCAGATGTAAAGACCTCCTCTTCTCTGTCTTTGCCTTCCCTGTGGGCATGGTGAGACACACATTTTGGAAAATTCTACATTCTTCATCATTAAAAATCATTTTTTGCTGTAAATTACAATCTCTGCTCTCTGCATTTTGTTTAGTTTGTTGTTCTACTTTTCTGGACAATCTTTGCCTACGACAGAGAGCTGGTCTACCCAGCTACTATTGACACTTTCTTCCCTCCCTGGATAAACCATGCTATGGTCTGTAAACTTTCTTTTTTTATTATTTGTTTAAAGAATGTTGTGTACAAATTTAAATAACACATGACACATAATGAGTTATTCCTTCACTGTTCACTCAGCACACATTTGTCCTGCCTGTTTTACTTGGAGAAGTGCTGGTGCAGCCTCACATCTACCCACAGACTAAACATGCCCTGGCAGCATTAGGAGTTGTGGGCTTGGCTTACTTATTTTGGTAAGTGATGAGTCAGCGTATACATGATAACAATTTCCAAACATTAATGGCATTAAGTTAACATACAAATATCACAGAATTTTAAAACAATCACATCCTTCTTGATTTAATATTTACCATCATGATCTGACTGAATCTTTAATATATTGTGGCTTAAACATATGTGGCTAAAAGCACAGCAGTGTGTCTATATTCTTAGCGTAGCTAGTCTAGGCTCATCCAGCGTGTAACAGTTCACTGCAAACAGCTTCAGGGTAACAGCTTTGAACCTCTTATCATTGGGGCTCACACACTGTGACGCTGCCTATAGATCCTCATGTGTGTGATGGTACAAACAATAAAAATACTGTATGTTAGGGATGAGATTTCTTTATTATGCTAAGTGTTTTCAGGTTAAAATAATCAGTATCATCAGTGCCAATGGGTGGAAACCGTGTGCCAGTGAATATTTGCATGAGACATACTAGATCTTTTAGACAAGACAGTACAAGATGATCTGACAGATACAGTGGTGCTGAGAATTGTTTTTCCCCTCTTTCTTTCTTTCTCTCTCTCCCTCTCTCTCTCTCTAAACATGTTCTGCAGGATTATATGGGTGTTCTTGTCAGTTGGGATTTGGGTGTATCCTCTCCTGGGCCACTTCAGCACCGCTGGTCTGGCGGGCTTCTTCTTTTTTAACATGTCTGCGGTGACCTTGTTCTACCTGCTGGGGGACAAGCTCAACAGCCGTGTGTGGAGTAAGTGACATTAACAAACATATAACACAGGAGACAAACAACTGAATTCAAGTCAACTTGCCTCTAATCCCTCTCTCTCTCTATCTCTCTCTCTCTCTCTCTCTCTCTCTCTCTGTCTCTCTTTTCTTCTGCTGCCTCCTTTATTCTAGGTAAGGACATGAACAAAACGACAGCAAACAAACAGTGACTCTCAAATGAAAATAGTCAAGTACAGTGGCAATCCAGACAAGACAAAAGACTCTATTGAGAGAAGAAATAACACATTTTTCCTCTTACAAATAAAAAGTGGAATGTATGAGCAATACAACGCACCATTGTTCAGTCCATTACACTGTGGCATTTTGCCTGCAACAACCTTTGTTGGTCCAGTGTGACCAGCACCATAAGGTGGCTAATGTTTGCAAATCTTAACAATAAAATGATGTATATTACACATTACTGAGTCACTTCACTGGCTACATGATTCTTCTCCACCTCTACTACTGCTTAGCTAAAGGCCTTTAGCTAAAGGCTAAGCAGTAGTTTATCGCTTAAGTTGCATTGTTCCACTAATGTAGCCACAGTAAAAAAGTCACATTGTCTCAATTTAAAGAGGATTATTACTTTCTGCTCTCAAACAGCTCTGATGCAAATATTACAGTTCAAATTTAGAGCTTAACAAAGCGGTATTTAACATTGCAAAACGCCTGAATAATGCAATTTTAACATCAAAGCAGGCCTAAAGCAAGTGTCACTCACAACAGCAGAAATCCTCCTGTGACTATATTTATATTTTATGCCGTTTCAGATTTAAAAAGAATATGCAGAGTAGAACCTGACAGATGCTCTTCCTTCCACATATTTCAGCTTTTAAATTATAGTTAGTGAACCTGACAGGATCCACCATCAATATTATCACTTTCATATTAAGCACAATTGAGTTCCCCTCTATACAAAGGAGAGATTATTCCTAATTCATAACCAATGTCATGTTTGACCTCAATAAAGTGCGTATTTTGCATTAATCATGGAACAACTGGAGGGGTTGCAAGAATAGCTCGACTTCTGTTAATCCAAAACATAATGCCAAACAGCCTTGATTTGGTGTCGTCACAAGTCCATTGAGATCTCCAAGAACAGCTGTGCTTCTATGTCCACTAATTACTGTAACAGGGCTGATTTTCCTTGTTGTTGTAGTGGAGATCAACCACCACGCAAGTCTCTGTAGCCTTTAAGATGGTGGAGGTAGTTCGGATCTGCATCCACCAATCCAACTGAGAGGATCCTGGCCAGTAAATGCACATCCTCTTCACTCAGATCCTTCTGTTACAGAGATTAATATCAGCTATTTAACTCAACTCAATCATTATAGAAAATTACAGTATTTAATTGATAATTACTTACCATCTTGTTGTTGGCAGCCGACTCAAGCAGCTGTGATTTTCTAGGTTTATTTCCCTGTCAAAGATAATAATAATTTCATAAAATCACACTTTGTTTCCTACTTCCTCTCATTGGTCGCTTCCTCTAGCAGATGCAGTGCAGTCTCTGTTTGTATCTGTATTCTTAAGGTTGAGTTATGTCTCATTCTTTATCCAAATTACATTTTAAAACAGAAAATCTAATTTGTAAATGTTTTCTCACCTCTTTAAGTCCTTTTGAAAAGCACATTATGATGAAGAGAAGGCCACCAACGATCTGAGCATTAAAAAAACACAGTCAATAACAGTCCCAGACAAAAACTTTGATTTGTTAACAAATGCTTACCCTCAGCTAAAATATTAAAGAAATAAATAAAGATGTTTTTACTTACTCCCAGCAAGTGAAACATGTTTGTTCCTCCTGGCTCTGTCCTGCGTGTGTAAAGATTTGTAACTTAAAGTGCACCAAATAAGTTCCTCCTGCCCTGAGACATCACACCACGGTACGTAAGTCACGAGAAAAAACTCCCATGAAGAACCAGCACCACAGGATATACTGCATTTTCGAGTAGCACCCATTCTTACAGCTGAAAGATGTTAATCATGAGACAAATGTGGTGTTACGCAAATGGCTGCGTGAATTGTTGGTTGTTGTGCAAGTGTTAACGTAGTTTCCAGTTTAGATTGTATCTCTTGATTGTTACCTGTAAATAACAATTACATAAGTTGCACCTGGCCAATGAGCTATGATGCAGCATTGATAATTACTTGGAAAAAGAAATGAACCACCACCTGTTCATTTGAATATCCATTTACATTTAATGTACTTTGAAAGTGCATTGTCATTTGGAACAAACAGGTTCTCATAGACAGAATTTAATACAATCATTCTTATTTTTAAAAGGACTATGTATATTTTTGGTTATACACACAGTATAACCAAAAGTCTGTTTTTTCTTTCTTTTTTAAAAAAAAATTAATCATCAAATTGACACCATTCAAATTTTAATGACACATGTTAAGAAGCGCCAGGGGCTGAATGTAATTATTAATGTAAGTAAATGTAAGTACTTCAGTAAAGTTTTGAGGTACTTGTGTTTTACTACACTTTAATGATATACATCACTTTATACTGCTACTCCACTACCTTAAAGAGGGAATATGATACTTTTTTTGCTCCATTAGTTTCTATGTAAATTAGGATTTTCTTGTAAAAAGATAATAAGTCTATAAAATAGACTACATCACATTGTTATAAACTACCCACCCATGTAAAAAGTATTTTAGTATTTCTCCACCTGCTACAACATAAAATGCTACTCACATGCCAATGTATAGGTAGAAACAAACTAATAATATATTGTATGACAGTGTAAAATTCTCCAAGACCATATTTTCAGCATACAGAGTACTGCAATTTTCTATAGTACTTCTAAACATAAGGCTTTGACTTGTCTTGTCATTTTTTTTTTCTTATCGTATTTCCATTTTAGGGTGTGAATTACCTTTTTCCACCTACTCATATTATGGCAGGAGTATGATACACTCTTGCCAATCATCACTCCCACCAGAATGTGTGTGTGTGTGTGTGTGTGTGTGTGTGTGTGTGTGTTTGTACACACAGAGTGTGTACATAGTTAACTGCAGAGAGACGCATGCGCGCGGGCGCTCCATCTAGAACATTTTGGACGCTTCGCGACATTTCTTCACCGTCATTTAGTAAAGCGTAAAGTAAAGCAGTGGCACTTCCGGTTTAGTGAGCGTACCTTCAAATTAAAGATCACAGCGTTTGTATTTACTGTACACTACATTCACAGTACATCTTTTTAAGTAAGATTTTCAGATAACCCCGATATTGCTTTCAGTATATAGTGAAAGTGGAGTGTATAGATGAATTTTCTTGTACGCCCTACTGCTCTGCTTCTGTATAAGAGTGGCGTTGCTAAAGGACAAACCGGAAATTCAAAGTCTAATACAGCTAACTTGAGTGGTTTCTCGGCATCACCGTACAGCAGTTGTTGACAGAACACTGGAGTAGAGGGATTGGGTATTGCAAGCAGATGGTGGTTAGCTTTTGACATTAAAAACTGAAAATGCGCTGTTATGTGCGCTTTTAAAGGTCGGACCAGCTAGTGAGCAATACAGTGGAAAACAGTAAGGCTGTCAGATCTGGCGGGTTTGGTAAGATTTGCTATCTGGCTTTACCGTTATAACGGTAGATGACTTAGTCCTGGCTGTAACTTTTAACTGCTTACGCAAAACGTAAAGGAATGACACATCTTAATTTGCGTTGCTTGGCTATGCAGTCACCTTACAAAATTAACTCTTAGCTACATTAAGCCCTGACTTACGTTAGCCTGCTAACATTACAGCAATGTTGGAGAAAAGCCATGCTACACCAATGTCACCACGTGTCGAACGCTTTTACTAAAAACTCTCTCCTTAAATCATTTACTGTCATCGCTAGTTGTAATACTGCAACGTTAAGAAATGTCAAATAAACTTGGTCAAGTTGTATCAGTCAAGAATGATCTGTCTCGCTTGTGATCATGATGAAGGATCGTAAAGAGGAATTCTGTCCGCGGTCCCCCAGTGAGAACAAGAATAAAACTTCCGCTTTGAATATTGAAAGCATATTCATATAAATCTCAGAAAAAAACATGACCGTTCTTTTTTTAATTATAGCGGCCCTTATTGTGAGCTCTCAGTGTGTTGGTTAAATATGGTTAGATAAGAAATATTAGCAAAACTTTTGTTTAAACGCGTTTTGACATGTGTTTTAATTTGGAATTCCAGTCGCCCAAAGCGGAAGTGGTGATATTAGATGATTTCTGTGAACGTTACTCATCTAGCACCGTTAATCTAACTGTAGCTTACTTGGCTAATGTGTTGACATGTTACCTGGCCAGCTACGACCTCGTTGGACTGGTGTTAGTATATATCATTTTATCCTAAAGACATTATTTAAGCTAACCACACGTACGCGTCTATTGTATCTAGCGATTATTTTATTTAGCCATAGCGTTATTTGGCTACATTGCTAGGTGATACCAGATGAAGTGAATCTTGCAACTCAAACTGTGGATGTCTGAATGAGCTCTGTCAGGTTCCATTAGCCGCGGTGTCTCTCTGGTCTTCATAGAGACGGGGATCCTGCTGGCGTGTATAGCCAAAGAGGAGTGCTACAATGCTGTGCTGGGGAAATGCTTCCTACGGACAGCTGGGCTTGGGTGGGATTGATGAGGAGATTGTGGTTGAGCCACGAAAATGTGAATTCTTTCACGGGAAGCAAGTGTGTGATGTGGGGTGTGGCCGGAGACACACAACCTTCCTGCTGGAGGATGGGACAGTATACACCTGTGGCTGCAATGACCTAGGGCAGCTGGGACATGAGAAGTCCAGAAAGAAACCAGGTTGGTCATTATTATTATTATTATTAGTAGTAGTAGTAGTATTGTTATTATTATTATTATCATCACCATTATTACTATTTAATTCTGTTTTATGATAACAGCTGGTAAAATCATTCCTCACACAAACATTTGTTTTTATCTTCTATTAGAACAGGTTGTGGCTCTGGATGCACAAAACATAGTGGTGGTGTCATGTGGAGAGTCCCACACACTCGCCCTGAATGACAAAGGGCAGATTTTTTCATGGGGTCTTGGCTCAGATGGACAGCTCGGCCTAAATAACTTTGAAGAATGTGTTCGTGTGCCTAGGTAAATTCAGCAACTAATTTCATATTTTCTGATTTGCATGAAGCCTTTTTATTTGTTTTGCATTGCACACTATTTGCTTATTCTTCCCTATGTTAGACAAATGTAATTAAAACAGATAAAACTATCAGCATACTGTTTTCTAAATGTCAATGTGACTTTCATAATTAAATTCTGTTGCAAACAATGTAAAATTTGGAATTTATTTAACATGTTAATTTCTTTCAAAATGCTAATTTCTCTCTGCCTGTAAAATGCCAGAAACATCAAGAGTTTGTCAGACGTACAAATCACTCAGGTAGCCTGTGGGTATTGGCACTCCCATGCACTTTCAAGAGGTGAGGGTGGTTTCCACCTACACAATGCACATTTATTTATTCAACTTATTATGTTTCCAGCATGTTCAGACATTCAGTGTTATATCTGTTTTGTTTGCACAGGAGGCCAGGTCTTCTCCTGGGGCCAGAATCGATATGGACAACTTGGGCTGGGAATTAATGGACAAAGCATTTCCACACCCCAAATCATTCAGTCTCTGCAGGGCATTCCTTTTGCTCAGATATCAGCAGGTGGTGCTCACAGCTTTGCCCTCACTCTCTCAGGAGCGGTGTTTGGTTGGGGTCGCAACAAGTTTGGTCAGCTGGGTCTCAATGACACCAATGGTGGGTGGTTGAAACTAGTGCTAGTAAAAGTACTTTTGAGCATTCAAGCCCCTAAGTCAGTCTAATTGTCAGGATGTTTTTTTCAGATCGATATTTCCCAGCCCTGCTGAAGTCCCTTAGATCGCAGAGAGTGATTTACATCTCCTGTGGAGAAGATCACACAGCAGCACTGACCAAGTTAAGTTATATACTTTTGTGGTTATTTGAACCACCTGCAGTGTTGTGTGTGGAAGACCTTGATTTAAATCTGGGGATACTTTGAATCAAAGTGGGGTGTTATTTGTTGTAGTGAACTGATGGTTTTTACTGCTTGGGCCTTATTTTTTGTAGGTTTGACCATCATTTCAAATTGTTCTGATTACATTTTATTAACCAGCTTAATTGTTTATATATGGGGACAGAAGGACAGCTTAACCTGAGACTTGTTATAGTCTGTGAATTTTGTGACTTATTTAAAAAGTCCATGGCTAACTCTTGTCCTGAAGGTCAACATAACTGGTGCTGCTGATTTTACAGGAAGGAGGTGTGTTTACATTTGGAGCAGGAGGATACGGACAACTGGGACATAACTCTACAAACCATGAAATCAACCCTAGGAAAGTGTTTGAGCTCATGGGAAATGTAGTTACACAGATTTCATGTGGAAGGTAAAATCTGTATTTTTTCACATTTTATCTCAAACATGACTATATGATTGTTACGTGTACATAATGTAATTTTAGATAATCACTATAAAAGTTAAACTGGGTGTAATTGAATTTTATTGAAGTTTTTTTTTTTAAGAACTTTTTCAAATTGTTGTGCAATCATAAGGCAGCACACTTTGGCTTTCACACCCTCCTGTGGGAAGATGGACTCCTTTGGGCTTGGTGGTAACGGGCAACTTGGTACACGCTCCACTTGTAACAGGAAAAGCCCCGCCCCCGTCAAAGGTCCCTGGGTAGCCTCCAATTCTCCTGCGGATACAGGTGAGACAGTAAATAAAGCTGCATCATGGGATTTCTCAGGACAAGAGGAACAGAATAAAAGACAAAACCCATAGAAAATTCATCCATACATTTATTTCTTGCTTTCATTCCAATACGTTGCAGACTCGGAGCAGAGCTGTTGTGTCAAGAGGATTTATGCTGGAGGAGATCAGAGTTTTGCTCACTATTGCACTGCCACTGTAAGTTTTCAGGAATAAAGGGACTTCTCATATTTTGAGGTTTCTCACAGATTTGAAGTAAATTCAACCTCTTAACATACAATAACCATAATCAGAGAATTTTCAAATCAACATGGCTGAATAAATCAGGCAGACTGCTTCACAAAAACGATCCACGTTGGTCTTGTTTTTCTTTTTGTAGAACCTCCAGAACATAGATGATGTGAGGATACAAGATCCTCACAGAAGGATTTGCACCTTTAATGAGGATATCATACAAAAATGGTTGAACCATTCACCAGGAAGACTCCCGCTGGAAATCTCCAAGTAAAGTCTTCTCCTCACAAGAACCATGGCTGACCACGCCTTATGGATGTTGTTGCTAGTTTTACTTCATCACAGACATATATTTTGCAACTGGAAAAGTCATGATTCTGTCGGTTCTTTATGGAGATTTGCTTTTGAAAAGTAGTCACACTAATTACTTGACTTTTATGATTCCCTCAGTGAGATTGACCTCGTGTTCTCCTCAGCAAGCTGCCTCAATGGATCTTTTCTCTCAATGAGGTAATCACATTTCAAATGAAGTCTATTTTTATCCGCAGTCTGGTCCAAAAGTCTTATTTCATTACTAATAAGTTTGTTTTCATTATTGTGAAATCCAAGGCATTTTCTTTACTGATTTGTTCCTTTGTCGTTACACACGACTTACAACGTATTAATTAATTCTTTAATTCATTAATTAATTAATTCTTTAATTCATTAATTCATTAGTAACCTACAAGTATCAGACCTAGTTTTTGTTGAGACTGTCAGGGAGACGCTGATTCATCTCCAACTGGTTTGGAGCTGTACTCAGTGATGTTGTGTTATAATAAGATGTGTTTCTAATACTCAGTTCCCCTCTTGTATGTAAGCAGCGTTGGTTTATTTGGTGACCTAAATACTTGGAATGCAACCTGCATGGTTTCATGTGAAATGTCTGTTTCTGTCACACAGTCATCCAGATCACTACAGTACCAGCAGCAAATGTTCAGGGGTTGATATGAACATGGCTCGCATCCTCTTTCACAGAGTCATTCAACAAGATCACCCTGAGATAGCTCAGCAGGTCAGTGGTCAAAAAAAAAAGAAGTCCTGTTGTTGGTGCACCATATCTATGTATTCCATTGCTGTTTCGCCACTAGTGTACTTCAACATTTAAATAAAATTGTACTAATATTGTTACTATTGTTGCAGTGGCAGCATGTATTGTACTTGTGGGTAGAAAAAAGTAGCATCATAATGGATGGATCACAGTGTTTACTTCAGGTGTAGATTCAGAAACTTCTTAATGAATATTCCAAGACACATTTTATGCCACAACGCCCATTGTAGGGCACATTGCCCACCATCTTGAATTTGTGGCCCTGTGTCTCATTGGCTTTGATAAGGAAGTATTTTTCTGGAAACTCCCCAAAAAAGATTTCCACACAATTTTTGGAAAGAGAATGTTTGGCTTCTGTTTCTGTACCAGAATTCATCACAGTCTTTTTTTTGTAAGATGCTCATATAATTTTGATTTTCTTACCTGCATGGATTTGGTTTAGATGTGGATATAATGTATAACTGTCATTGAAGTGGATCAATGGACCCCTTTCCCTTCCATAACATGTATTGTCACACCTGCACTTAAAACTGAATTAGCAAGTAAACATATGTATTTGTAGTGGTTCTTTTTGTGTGTTTGTAACACTTTCAGGACCGTCTGCAGTTTTTTTTCTCAACTTACTGCAATTGCTGCATGATGCTTTCACTGAGGGGCTTTACAACATATGCTTACCTTGTCTGTCTGCCCTTTCATGTTGGGCATGCAGTGTACAGTAGGTTTATGAGAGGGTTTTCTTTGAAAACAGCTGCCTGCTGCATCTGGAAACGATGCTGATGAGAGGCTTGGCAGTGAACTAAAACAGTAAAGTTGTGGGGCATAAAACCAAAACTTGAAACATGCGTCATAGAGCTTTGGGGAACAGGTGATAATTCTTTGTGGGTTTGTCACTATGAATGAAACCTTTCACATTACACATAGTGAGTTTTTTTTTTTATTATTGTTAATACAGAAATATTGATTATTGAAGCTTTAATAAAATCCTGTATTATGTTTTGACAGCAGAGTTCATTCTGTATTTCTGTAAATTACAAAAATCTTCAAATTGTGTAATATTGTATTATTTTTATTTTTTTTATTGTATTATGATATTGTATATACAGTTAGTGTTAGTGCATATCTCCTTTCAGTCCAGACTGCTGCAATGACTTTTAGTAGCAACTTTATGAGCTCACCTTGTCTGATATCAAGACATCTTGTCTTGAGTCCAGCTCCAGCTCCATCCTCTGCCACCTTTAGCATCCTACCCCGCCTGAATATGTTATTGTTACACTTTGCCCCACCACCACCACTCGAGTTAGGAGTTGCATCAATTAGGAATTGGTACATTAAAGCATAACAGACCTGTATACTTTCTTCTGTCTACCTCAGATTGCTGCCAGTCTGGAAAAGAACCTCATTCCCAGACTGAGCAGCTCTCCTCCAGACATTGAAGCCCTGAGACTCTACCTCACTCTCCCAGAATGCCCTCTCTTCAGTGACCGAAATAATTATGTGACTATTGCCATCCCATTTGCCAAATCACTCCTCAGCCTGAAAGAGGCTGCACTGAAGGTTCTAGGTAGGATGAAGATGATGTTTTTTTTATGCTTCACACCAAACACAGTGCAAAAGTTTATGCTTTTCATCTTAAAAAAAACAAAAAAACCCCAACTTTTTTCATCTTGTGTTTGCGTCAGGAAACTGGTGGTCTACGTTTGAGCCCCCCGTCTTCCAGTGGCTTGTTGAGGTGTACAAGGAGGTGGTGGTGTATCTGCTTCAGATGCACAAGGTGGGCATTCCTTCAGTAGAGCAGAGAATTTTCACCTGTTTCCTGGACACGTCCCTGCGACTCCTGGAGATCCTGCACACGGTGAGAAATGAAAAAAATTCCAATCCAAAATTTGTGATACAGCTGCTTTCACATGTCAAATTCATAACAGTAAATCATGCGGTACCTTGACAGACAGTTGTTAACATCCATTTTGCTGCTGCTTCAGGTGAGTGACAGAGCAGGACACATCATTCAGTATGATAAATTCTACATCCATGAGTTGGATGACCTGATAGACATCAGAAATGACTACGTCACATGGATTCAGAGGCAGATGTACCCACTGGTGAGTTCCTGCTCCATGATTCACTTGATTACATTTGTCTATATTTAGGCATCAGTATGATCCATTTGTTTATGCCTCTGTATCCTCAGGGTCATGACGGTGTGGTGACTCTGTGCAGGTATCCCTTTGTATTTGATGCCCAAGCGAAGACCACTCTGCTTCAAACTGATGCTGTGATCCAGATGCAGGTAATGTGCAGTAAATCACTTACTCGAGGTTTCTTTCATCATGAGCTACTTTTCTTCTTCCTCTTGACTGGTTTCACCCTGCGTAAAAGAGCTTAATCTAGTGCTGTCAAATCATTGTGTCTTCGAAAACATATAGCGTTCTCATCATTCATCATTCCCTCCATGCGCTGATAGATGGCAGTGGACCAGGCGCAGATGCAGAACTTCAGCTCCATGTTCCTGCCAGCAGTGGAATCTGTCAACCCGTGCCTCATCCTCATCGTCCGGAGGGAAAATATTGTTGGCGACACCATGGAAGTCCTCAGGAAGTCTAAGAATGTTGACTACAAGAAACCGCTGAAGGTAAAAGCTGCTAGAATTAAAACTGGTATGTGAGGTGTTGCGCACAGTGACATTTACTCTGTGACTCTGCAGTTCGCCTTAGCTCTATGGAGCCTTCCAACTTTAAAAAATTGTAGTGATTTATTACAGCTCAATATGGATGGCCAGGTTCATCAAATATTATGTAGCTTAAAGTGTTCTGCTATATTTACAAATCTGTGGGGCCACTTAGGCGAAGACATGAAAAGTACTGCCGTTGTGCTTATGTTTGTGACCATGGCAGGTGATCTTTGTGGGAGAAGAGGCGGTCGATGCAGGAGGTGTGAGAAAGGAGTTCTTCCTCCTGATCATGAAAGAGCTGTTGGATCCCAAATACGGCATGTTTCGTTACCACGAGGAGTCCAGGCTCATCTGGTTTTCAAACAAGGTACTTGTGTAATAATGTAATTGTGTAATAATTCACCTGTGTATGCTCACGCTCCTGAAACATCACTAGCAATGTTTTTAAGTGCGCTCTAAAGCACCCTCAATAATGGGGACAACAAAGCGGTCATAACATGAATTGGCTCATGTAAATGCCATATCTTTGTGGTAAACTAGCCACTGTCTGAATTTAACTTAGGAGAAACTGCCCTCCATAAAATCTTTGACACTCAATGACTGTCCCTTGCAGACCTTTGAGGACATTGACTTGTTCAACCTCATTGGGGTCATCTGTGGTCTGGCCATCTACAATCTCACCATAGTGGAGCTCAACTTCCCCGTGGCCCTTTACAAGAAACTTCTGAAGAGGAAGCCAACGCTAGACGACCTGAAAGAGCTAATGCCAGATGTGGGAAGGTCAGATCAAGGAACAGTCATCTGAGGTTTCCTTTTAACATGTTTATGAACGTCTGTTTACCTTGGTGTTTTCTTTGCCGCGTCTAAAATCGGATCTTTTAAAGTTGCAATTACAGTGTATTACCAGAGAGAGAGAGTTGACACAAAAGCGTTCAAAATTGTCTATAAAAATAATGATAAATGTATCTCTTGTAAAAGCAGGAGTCTGCAGCAGTTGCTGGACTACACGGAGGATGACCTTGAGGAAACGTTCTGCTTGAATTTCACAGTAAGATAATTGCAGTAACAGCAGTCAACAGTCTCTGTGGTGCATACAGCTTCAAATAAACAGTTGTGCTATGTGCAAATCATATAAACAAAATCTAAACAGTGTCTTTGTTTTTTTCAGATCACAGAGGAAAACTATGGTGCCACAGAGGTTTTGGAACTAGTACAGAACGGCGAAGACATCAATGTCAATACATCAAACAGGTAAAATTTTCTCACCTGTGCTATTAACCATTAGCAGATGTTTAGAGGAATAGTTTTACATTTTTGCAAATAAATGCATTCACTTTCCTGCCAACAGTTAGATTGGAAAATTGATACCATTCTGATGGCTTTATGGTTAAAATGTAGCTAGTTTGTTTAGCATAAAGACGGAGGTTTGGGTCGGGGGATAGCTGATTAAAACATTCTGTGTTGTTTGTTTAATTCATTAAGAATAAAGAGTTAAGTGTAAAAATATGTTTTCAGAAATCTGGGCTTTTTCCAAAATGTTAAACTATTCCTTTTAAGACTCAGACGTTTTTCTGCTTAAATGTTACAAACCTTTAACCAGTGAATTGTTTTAACTCATCCTGAAAATATCATATATATATAATAGAATCATCCTCTGTATTATATGCTGTCAGAAATCTGGTATTATTGCTTTCTTCCAATTGCATTTTACATGTAACATATTTCTTTACATCACTTTATTTTCATATGAATTCCTTTTTCTCCAGGCAGGAATTTGTCAATGCCTATGTTGACTATGTTTTCAACACGTCAGTGGCCCCACTGTTTGAGTGCTTCTATGCAGGCTTTCACAAAGTGTGCGGTGGAAAAGTTTTAGAGCTGTTCCAGCCAAACGAACTGCAAGCCATGGTCATTGGCAACACCAACTATGACTGGACGGAGCTTGAAAAGGTCTTGTTTTAAATATTGATTAAGAGAAATATGTCATCTCAGCAACTCATTTTGTCAGAGTCAGCCTAATAAGTTTAAAGGACCAGTGTGTAGGATTTTGGGGGCTCTATTGGCAGAGATGGAATATAGTACTCATAATTGGTTTCCTTGGTGTGTAATCACATCACTATATATATATATATATATATATATATATATACACACACACACAAACACACACACAGGGATCAGGTTCTCCTACACACTTGGAAAAGCGAGGCGTGTGGGTCAGGAGTATATAGTTGGTTGCAATCTGCAACCTCACCACTAGATATATCACTAAATCCTACACACTGGTCCTTATAGTACAGTATAGAAATAGTATTATAACAATAACAATAACAATTATACTTGTCTCCACTCTTCAGAGTACTGAATACAAAGGGGAGTACTGGGCGGACCATCCCACCATCAGGCTCTTCTGGGAGGTGTTCCACTGTCTTCCTTTAGAGAAGAAAAAACAGTTCCTCTGTAAGTGCGGCCGTCCATATGCAGCATCAGAGAAGCTGTTCCTTTGGCAATGTGAACGTATTCATATGTTTTGTGTTCAGCTGCAAAAGTGACACGATGTCTCTCGCCTTTCCAGTGTTCCTCACAGGAAGTGACCGCATACCCATCTTGGGCATGAAATGCCTGAAACTGGTGATCCAGCCCACCGGTGGAGGGGAGCATTATTTACCTGTCGCCCACACGTGCTTCAACCTGCTGGACCTGCCCAAATACACAAGTCTGGAAACACTCCGTGAGAAGCTTCTACAGGCTATAGATCACAATCAAGGCTTTAATCTTGCCTGAAAGTACACAGAAATGCCTAGAACTCCGTGTCGAGACTGTTGATGGCAACCACATTCCCGAATGTTTAGTTTTTGCAGACTTGAACACTGGTTGGAAAGAGGAGGAAGACAAGTGACACTAGAAATGATTTAAGAGTTGGATGCCTAGACTTTGACATTAATCTTGACTTTGGTTTTCCAGCTTTTTTCCATACCATCACAGTATTTGATGCCCTATTACAAGTTGATTCACATTTGATATATTGCTCTTGTAGATATGCTTTTATTCATGTTTGGATATGACAAGTATGATGAAGCAAACTACTGGTATTTACAGGGCATGGATACAACAACATAAACACCTGTAAAATATAATTCAATGCAGCAGCATTACCTTTTTGAAGCTTATGATGTAAAACATTAGTGAGATGTTCCTGTTATATTTTTTCTCGGAAACACCTCAAAATCTAATGTAATCCAAGCACTGTGGCCTCAAAACGACCAGATTTAAATCAACACCGCTCTTATAGGGTGTCGACAAAAATGTAACATTTTAAGCTCCACTGTGGTAGTAGTTCCTCACATTGTATTTTACAGGAGTTAATGATGTTGTGTCCACCCCCTGTGTATTAAATGTTTGAACCCAGACATGTAAACTAACTCTTTATGTTAAGTTCTGTTGTGACATTTGATTGAGAGCAGTGCAAAGCGTTAGATTTTCTTGGCTTTAAGCCTTAAACAAGCCACAAATAAAAACAAAGTAAAGCCACTGAAATAAATGTGAGTTACTTTGGGGATAAAATACCGTCCTATTGTTTAAGTCATTTTTATTTACTGTCTTCTAGAGGATTGGTTTGTTTGCAGTGACGTTTGATCATTTATTGTAGCATCATGCCTTTGGGAGTAACTTTAACATGATACATTTAACTTACTTTTTAGTTGCAGTGCAATATCACAATTTAAAGGATTGGAAGACAACAATTTTAAGTTGATGTGTCCTCTCCAGTTTATAGGCCAAGTCAGAATTTTGGTGTACTATGGCTATGACTGAAATTCAGTCATTTCCAGTGTTTGACTGTACGACCTATCAGCGATTGTTGTACCACTAAACACAGCTCACTTTAGCTTCAATATTTTTTCTTGTCCTTTGTCAGAACATGACGGATGAGGATCTGTTAAAAACAACAACAGAGTTCTATCCAGACAATTTGGTTCAGGTTTACATTTTAATGATAACTGTACATGCTGAATGATATGCACACATTGCAGTATACGGGCATGAGGGAGGCAAATACAGTTTTCTGAGCGATCCCAATCATACAGAACTTGAATTTAGTTTTAATGTGGCAATTCGAAGTGGGCCAACTTATAGTGGGTACCACAGGAAGGACAGCGCTGGGAACCTCCCTCATGAAGCCAGAACCACACTATAGCAGTGTTGTCTTCCTCACCTGCAGATAATTGAATTATGAGTAACCTGGTTTGTAATGTACACGTTCAAGAAAAAAATGAGATAAGTGTTTAATATACATCACTTACAAAGACAGCCCACCAGCCTCTTGTCTAGAGTGCATGGCACAATCTGAGGGTCTTCCTTTGTGCCACTATAGTATTTGGGCTCCAATATACTGTAGGGGTCCTGTAATGTTAAGTAAAAGAAAATTAGTACATGTGAGGTTTAAAGACAGCACTTGAGTGAATAGTTGTCTATACCTTTCCCTCTTTGAAGGACATCAGGACTCGGCGCTCCAGTCCAGTGGCCTGTTCCTCATCTGTTGGTATCCCTGAAAAAAATATATGGCAGAGGTTTTCATTAAAACAAATTCTTTTTATTTTATAAACCACCTTCAGAGTAATCTGGCAAGGTGTGCTCTGTGCACTTTACAGTCGGACTGTCCGTGTACTTGAATGCCAATGAAACTGCACGTCGGCAGTGGACGCCTCCCACACCAACCTGCCTCTGTGCCATATCGGTACTGGCATCAAACCAACAGACGCCTGCCAAAGGAGGTGGGTCTATCAAAGGCCTTTCCGCGAGTTAAAGACCAAATGACCTTCATTATTTGATTCAAACATTTTCAAACACACATTTAGGTGGAACACATTTACAAGTAAATATCACTCTCCCAGAAAATAAAGTGACCACAAACAAGATATTTTATCACTGCGAATAAAGATTACGTGTCAAAAGTCAATGTTATTTATCCTCTACATTAAACACTATTAACTAAGAGACCGCTGGTAGCAAGTGACTATTCATGATACAGCGTTTTAGATACCAAACTGCGCATTAACTAAAAATAATACTGACAAACTCCCAGTCCAGCCCCCTGAACTTAACGCACACTTGTGACCAGTGACAGTTGCGCTTCTACAGTAGTCTGCGGTTTTATTTCACGGTGTAAACTCATAATTTCTTCGGTAATAAATAAACACGACTCCTACCTCCTTCTGAGGCCATGGCACGCTGGAGCGGCCTAGGCACCACATTGTTCCTCAGCCGCAATGTTGTTGTACAAGTTCGGAGAAGGAGACGTCCCGCCATGATTCTGGTCTCACTTTCAGGTACCGAGTATGACCTGAATACAGCTGTCAGATGGACTGAAATGACCCCGACAAACCGACTGAGTGACAGGTCATCGGACCAACGACAGCAGAAAGATGGATGCGCTGACCAATGAAATTGAGCGGACGGGGCACGAGGAGCAGGTGGGAGACACTGGTAGAGGCAAGAAAAAGTTAGAGATTCAAATTCAGTTTGGATAACACATTTTAAATTTGAAAGCAAAATTAACTACACTATTTTAGATTCGATTATTTAATGGTATATTATTTCATTTGCTCTAGACACACACACACACACACACACACACACACACACACAGTAAAAAATACAAAATGTGGGCTACGTAAAGTATCACAAGTATTCATATACAGAATGACCTCGTTCTGTTTGATATTGTATTATCATTACAGTTGCATTACTGTAGCAGATTATTATGATCTGGATGATTGAAGTAAAGGTCATTTTAAACACTTTATAGGGCTTTTGTGTAGTTTCTTTTATAATAATGAATCGTATTTTTACTGATCATATGCCTTAGTTTCTTTGTAAAGCTTTGATCGTCAACTAGTAGCAGATGTCGGTATAAATTAATGGCAGAGTTAATGGTAGAAATTAAATGTAGGGGTGACTGGTGTGATTGATGGTCATTGCGCCTCTGCTCCAGGTGGAGGCGGTGTAGGACCAGCAAACACCACTGGTTTCCCATTGAAATAAGACGATAAAGAAACAATGACAGGGCTGTTGTAGCGTATAAGACATGCTGTTTGAGCGCACGTGTTGTCCCAGTTGTTTGTTGATGAGTATACAGGGTGTAAAAAGACTGTGTCCCGCTGTATTACTCAGGCTGCACTACAGCGTCTATTCACGGGCGCGATCCCACTACTGAGCGGCACGGGGGCTTTGACCTGCTTCGTTTCCGACCTGGGCCGGTGCACCCCTCCTTAGGCGACCTGGTGGTCCCGGGCTTCCCCAGGAGCACCATATCGATACCGAACTTAGTGCGGACACCCGATCGGCATAGTCCGCAGCAGCTCAGAACTCCTGAGCTCAAACGATCCGCCAGCCTCAGCCTCCCAGTGACTTGGATTACAGGTGCGCGCCACCGCACCCGGCGAGGTACTACAATACTTATCGGGCTTTTATCGTTTACAAAAGTGACGTAATCAAAAAGGCTGGTGACATCTTGTGGCGAAGTTTATGTAGCATTTAAACTGCTTTCATTCAATGATAGACAATATAACCTAATAATAGGTAGATAGATATATACTTTATTTATCCTCTAGGGGAAATTCAGGTACATGATATGTACATAATGTGGTAATAATAATGTGAATGATTCATAATAATGCGAATATGAAAGTGCAGCAGCAGCCTATGTGTTCGTATGTTAAAGTGAACTCTGGATCAGTGTTAGAAAGTAATCAAATAGTCTACATTTATTCAAGTACCAAATTGATACTTGTACTTTTCTTGATCTTTATGCTACTTTATTCTTCTACTCCACTGCAATTCAGAAAGAAATAGTATACTTTTTACTCCACTACACATATCTGACAACTATATTTAATTTCTTTGCAAATTAAAGTCTCCTGATTTCACCAAACTTGTTCATTAAGAATGATGGGGTCATAAGCAGTGTGGAGTAACATACTACATGTAACGGGTATATATAATTAAATTACAAAATAAATGTGATTGTAATCTGTCACAGTTACTGAGAAAAAAATCTTAATTAAATTACAGTTACTAATCATCTGAATATATTCTTTATGCTCAGACTTGTATTTTCTGATTTACTGAAAGACAGGAAAGAAGAAAATAACCTTCACAGTAAAGATGATGTTGCATTGCTTAAAGATAGATAAATACTGAATTAAATAGTCCATTACAATAAATAGTTTGGATATGGAGACAGCCATTTTTCACAAGACACCAGACCATAGCAAAAAGAAGTAAATAGTGGCCAGAAACATGAATCATGCTCATTCTTTTTTATGTCTTCTGGATGGGAAAATAGACATTTTTTGCTGCATGTCCCAAAAACATTTAGGCTTGGAATATGAGGATGGAATTTATTTAATCATATTTAAGGGTGAAAATTTCTACCAATTTATTGAAAATTGCTTATATTGTTTCAAGTCCAGAAATGCATGGTGTGGTGATTACTGTATGTTTGGATAAAGCATGACAAAGCACAGGTAAACTTACAAAACACACCATCCCAGCCAACTAATGAAATTCAACCAGCCTGGGAAAGTCCCTGAAAAACATGGTGACCTTGATCTCTTAAAATCATGCAGGGCTGTTTAATTTGATAAGGTGAGGACAACCCACCTAAGCAAACAAACAAGCAGTGATCAGGGCTGGATAGCTTTATAATAATATTAGACACGTGAATTTTCTATCTGAATTTGAGGCCCCTAAAATATAGACTGGAAATAAAGTTTTTCAAATTGCAGTTTGAAATTGACTATTGATAATTTCACAAAGTGAAATTCAGACCAGATGAATTCAGGAAGAGGGTTTTCAAAGTAAATATTTCAGTGCTATACATAAAGTGGTATTTACATTTTAATTCAAATTTTATGTTCAGTTGCTAATATAATTGAAGTTATCATGACAATGTAGTTTCAGAGCTACATAAACCACCTCTAGGGCAAGGAAAATTGATATTGCCATCACATCACTAAACATCATGTGTAGCACAATGTCTAAAATGTTTGAACAGGAAGGTGAAAAAAAACTTGCAACTAAGATAGAAAAAAGTACTTTATTATAACATTAGACCCCAATGCAGGCCAAAAACTATGGAAAAGGTCAAAGACGGTAGCATCACACTGTACATCTTCTGGATGTGAGCTGCGGAAACCTGTAAAACAAAGGGAACAACCATTACATAGGGTTCAGTTACAGCACATTCAGCACAGCAAGATCTCCATAAACAGAAGGGAAAGGACACTGACTGCATGAACACATTCAATGAAGTCAGCTGTTAGTTTTTTGTCATAAACACACAGCATCAACATTGATGATAAAGATCCACTTAAGTTGTTTGTTAAAGAATCACGATGAGGATACATACTGAGCATGAAATTCAACAAATGAAATATAAACTTGTCAGTGCCCTCTGGTGGACAAGGTGTGTAATGGCAACATTTTTTTTTTTGTTAATCAACCTCTACTGATATGTCTGTGATAAACCAACGAAGAGAGCAACATCTGCCACACCAACTTATTGGTCTGGCTCTACTACATTTCCCAGGGTGATGATCAGGCAAGTTGGAACTGATCAAGAAATAAATATTTCTAGCATTTGTGGTGAAATTACAATGTTATATATCCAACATATTTGATGCATAAGCTCTTGGATTTCCATTTCTATAGAGGAGTATTCATCTTTGTTAACTACAAGAGGACACCACTTTTGAATCTTACATTGTTATACATGTTCATGATGTCTAAGGGATACTTACGTCAGTATAAACACTTTACTTATTGCCTCCCAAAAGTACTTGTGAGCAGTGGCATGTTTCACAGGCTTTAAGCCCAAACTGATTTTCACATACAAGACAGAACATCACAGTATGAGGGAGGATATGCTGTTTTCTAATCCTGCCTATGTCACCCAATGCCAATATTTGATGGACGTTTCTGTAGTAGTCCTAGTACAGCTTTGTTTTGGACATCACTCCTATTGGTTGTAACATTTTAACCAACTGCTTAGTTGTCACTACTTGGAAATTAACAATTTGATGAATTCCACAAATCTATTAGTCTATAAAAATCCTTGTATGTCATAAGATGTTTGGTCCATCCACAGAAAATTCATGAACTCCAATTAACTTACTCTTTATTTTTTTTAATCAATTAATGTGTGCAAACAGCAAAACCTTAGATGTCACAGCTACAGAAATACAATGACTTGTTTGAGCTTTTTGATTGAATACTGCAGCTATCCATTCATTGGACATACACGAGTAAACAAAACAATCCTAAAATTTTGGTGACTTGTGCACACGTGTATGAAACCGTCACTCCTGCTCATACACCAGCCGTTTGTTTAAGTCAACAGACACATGGTTAGTAGCCTAGTGATGCACATTATCCATCCCTGTAATCCCTTACATTCAGTCACTGTTGAGGACCGCAGCAGTTAGTGCTGGGAACCTGGGCGTCCTTCTTCAGCACAGTAGGCCTCACCACGTCCACATCACGGTGCAGATGATTGAGCAAGCCTGAGAGGATGTCGGGGGCTGCGTAAAAATCGACTACAAAGTAAGCCCCTCGGCTGTGCTTCTCGCTGTGCTTGGTCATCTTGTAGGGCAACAGTCTCTCTCCCAAGTTCTCCAGGTCCCTCACCACTGCGCCCCGCTCCATCAAGGTCTCCACTGTGCGCCGGAGCGCAGCCGCCGTCTCCGGCCGCTGCATTGTCTTCAAGATTAGGGCCAGCTCGTAGCGAGGCATGGCTTCACCGAAGAAGTCCTCGAATCACACTTTAAACTCAGCTGGCTTTAGGTCCGTGTCATTGCCCGATAGATCACTCCAAAGACGACCATATTATGACACGAGGGACAGGAAAGGTCTTTGGTGATGACGTATAAAGCACGCGCCATTATTGACAACGACATGCCTAATAAAATATGAAGAATAAGAGGAACATCGCATACAATTGGGTGTTTAACCATTAAAACGCCAAGTTACTAACTATATTCCGATACCGATTTGATAAGCCAACAAATTTTCATTTGAAAGCGTATTTTTTAAACATTAAAGGGAATTGAGCTAGCTAAAGAGGCCTCACTCTACTTCTATTCCCTGATACCACCGGATCGAAATATTTTTTTTAAATCCAGAGCTATAATTTTTATAACTACAAATCATTATTTAGGGTTTTTTATTATTTATATTTTAGAGACAATATTTGAAGTAATTTGATGCTTTTGGGCAATTCTTTAGCAATTACCTGTGGGTGAATTTAAATTAATCTTTGAATTCTGCTCAAAAAGTGGGACGGATTTTTTCAATGGGGTGAACCATCTACTTAGCGAAGAGTGTCACGACGTCGTCATTACGCGCCGGGTTCCGGGCACTTTCTTCCCTTCCAGAAGAAGCGTGGTGAAGATGGCGGCGCAGAATTCGGTGCCGAGTGATCTGTACAAATGCGTATATTCATTTCTGCGGGATAATAAGTTCACTAAGGCGGCGCAGCAGTTTCTGAAACAGACTAAAGTGGTAAGCGACTCTTTTTGTTGTGTGGTTGACAACCAGGATGCGCTGTCTTGTCTCCAGGTGCTTCGAGTGGAAGTTGTCCAGATAGACCGCATGAGGAGTGAACCTACAGCTACGTGCAGAGAACATGTTGCCGGAGAAGTTAGCACGTGTAGAGGCTCACGCGCAAGCTGTATCAGCTGCCACCTGTTTAACACTAATTAACTAATTACCGTTTTCATCTAATAGATGGTGAAGGGGCATGATACAATGTTCTGCGTTGTAGGGAATTGGAAACTGAGTGTTTAACTGCACAAACTTTACAAATTGGAGGTGATTGGCTAAGTTATTGCTTCTTGTGTTTTCTCTGCAGACTCCACAGGATGAAAACGAAGAAAACCTCGTCAACATCTTCAACTTCTGGGTTAAGTGAGTTGCTTATCGTCTTTTTAGCTATTCTTTCAATGCTAAAATTTGTTTAGTTTACACCAATATCGATAAACCTGGAAAACATGGCCAAGCCAGCTGTGGGTGTCGTTGTTTTCCTATCAAATGCAGTCATTTAACGTTGATGTCATTAACAACATTAACATCGAGCATTTATATAGATTGGCTAGTCTCTGTCTGAACTGGTCACGGCAAACTGTTGGCTTATCAGACTTACATTTATGAAATGAAATTAAAATGTACTTTAATGGCTAACTTAACACATGGACAACAGTTTAAACTAGCCACTCGACCAGCATTAGGACAATTATAATGATGCTGCTTAATGTGCATTTTCTCTGTGAAAACACACATTTATACAATCACCATGGCTGCTGTCCCAGTATCCCACTTTAGCTGGCATCAGTACAATCTGTCTTCTGTTCATCTTGAGGAGAAAACTAGTTATATTTTAACTAAATTATAAGCTGTTTCTCATTTTACAAACGACACATGAATCCCCATTTTAGCATGGAATCTCACTATCACTATGGGTCTTCCTAGATCTCCTGAGGCCAAGAAACGAAAAGCACTTCCCAATAAGGGTGAAGCTAGCAATGGTCCAGCGGCCAAGAAAGCAAAAACCACTACAGAGACCTCCAGCAGCGAAGAGTCAAGCAGCGAGGATGAAGAAGCTGCTGCAAAACCAACTAAGGCAGCCCCTGCAGGTAACAGCAATGTACTTGACCAAGAGATTTGACATGGCAGGTTAAATTCTGTCAGTGATGTGCCATTCATAAATCTTCTACAGCGGTATCATACTCAATTTCTTTATATTTGTTTTAGCAGCCAAGGTGGTGCCTGCTAAAGCAGCAGCAGCTACTAAAGCTGCATCCAGCAGCAGTGAAGACTCCAGTGACTCTGAGGAGGAGAAGGCTCCTGCAAAAGTAAGAGAAAACTTTCAAATTAAAGATGCAACTCACATCTAGCCAGTGCTGCAAGGTTTAAGCAAGTGAGGTCTATACTTTCATGTAAATTGTTTCTTCTTGTAGGCTCCTATGAAGCCAGTTGCTGCTGCTGCTCCTGCTGCAAGGAAGAAAGACAGCAGCTCTAGCAGTGAAGAATCTGACTCTGAGGATGAGCAGCCCGCTAAAGCCCCTGCACCAAGTGAGTTTATTGCCAGATGTCATTTATACTGTGTAATGCATAATTGTGAACTAAAAATAAGAAAAAAATATGTATTTTTATCTAATTTCCCTTATTTAACTGTGATTAATAGAACCCAAGGCAGGTGCAGTTACAACACCCAAACCAGCTGCTCCTACCAAAGGTGCAGGTCAGAAAAAGCAGGAGAGCAGTTCTGAAGATAGTTCCTCAGATTCTGAAGATGAAGAACCAGCTAAGGTTTGCTAAAGAATCTTGCCATATCATAATATCATAACATGGTTTTGATTTTCATTTCAGAGTTTAGAATATTTTCTACCATGCTCAATGAAATACTGATTATTGTAGGTAAATGTGTACATCAGACTTAACTGCTTATGTCACGTGTCCTGATAGGCTCCAGTCAAACCTGCCCCAGTAAAGGCTGCTGCAGCTGAATCAAGCAGCGAGGAAGACTCTTCTGAAGATGAGGCTCCTCCCAGCAAAAAACCCAAAGCAGGTGTGTTTTTTTTTTTTGGTTTGTTTTTTTTTTTTTTACCTTGCTGAATGTCAATATCTATGCTCAATGGCTTGCACACATTAAGCAATAACAACCCAACAATGCCTTGCTACCAAAGATGCGATTCTGGTGAACACCAGGGAACCTTTTGATTTATATTTATTTTGAGTCTGTTATCCTTTTCCCAACTGAGAAAACGGTCCAGGTTTTTTTCTTTCTATACGTTTTTTTTTTTTTTGCTGTGCACTACAAAAATATAAACGATATTTGCTATCACCTTCTTGGCGCCCATGATTATGATGTTGATGCGTCATAATCCCTGCTCTCCAGCACTTGTTCATTCTTGCCTATGCCTGTTTCCATCCCTCTCATCCATGGCCCTGACTGTCCATCATGTGTGTCATACCTGAAGACAGAATTATATCACGAGCTGATCACCTGGTCCAACCTGGGATGATCTTAGGTTAAAATATTGAATAATTGTACTGTGGCTCTGTGTTATATATCATGATGCTGATCCACTTTCTCTGTCTTGTTAGGAGCATACAGTGCAGTCCCACCTCCTGCTTCAATCCAGAAAGCACCAGCTGCACCGGCAGCCAGCAAGGCCAAAGACAGCGACTCTTCAGATAGTAGTGATGACAGCAGTGATGAGGAAGAAGAAAAGAAAGTAGTTGGTAAGAGGTGCTCCCCTTTCTCAGTTTTAATTATCAGTGTATTCAGTGGCATATCTAACAGGACTGTAATCCTTCACAGCAAAACCTGCACTGGTTAAGACCAACGCTGCCAAACCTGTTGTGGCCAAACCTGCTGCAAAGAAGCAGGAGTCCAGCTCTGAGAGCTCAGGTAATGAGCATGATTGAAGTCAGTCATTTCTTTACTTGGTGTGAACTAATGCAGAATGTGTGACAAACATTTTTCTTGATTTCTCTAGATTCAAGCTCCGATGAAGAGGAGGCAAAGAAGCCCGCAGCCAAAGTCACCCCAGCTAAAGCAACCCCAGTCAAACCTGCTGCAGCTAAAGCTGCACCTGCTAAAAAGGACGACTCAGACTCAGACTCATCGAGTTCGGAAGATGAAGAGGAGGTGAAGAAACCTGCAGCGAAGGTGACCCCTGCTAAAGCTGCCCCAGCTAAACGTGTTGCAGCCAAAGCCACACCTGCTAAAGAAGACTCCTCAGAGGAGGATTCCAGTTCAGATGAGGAGGAGACGGCAGCAAAGAAGCCTACAGCCAAACCTGCACCTGCCAAGACTACCCCAGCTAAAAAAGACGAGTCCTCATCCTCTGGTAAGAGACGCCAAAAGAACGTGAGCTCAGTATTCCTTTAAGAATGATACATTTCAACAATACCTTATGTTTGCTTCATTTTGTGAATCTCTTTACCTGTTTTGCTAGATCAAGGCTAGAATTGATCATTTATAATCCATCATGAGAACTGTCAGTTATGACATTTCTACTTCCACCTCTGCTTTGCTGCATACATTTGTGTTTATCTGAAAAATGTTCAACAGTTTTTCTTTCATCTCAGATTCAGATAGCAGCTCTGAAGATGAGGCTCCAGCAAAACCTGCCACTAAAACTGCAGCCCCACCCAAACCTGCTGCTGCCTCCAAACCCCCAGCCAAGAAAGCAGAGAGCAGCTCTGATAGTGAGGATTCCTCTGAGGATGAGAAAGATCCAGTGAAAGCCAAGCCAGCAGCCAAACCAGCCACGTCTTCAAAGCCTGCTACCCCTGTTGCAAAGCCTCCTGCAGCAGCAGAGAGCAGCTCAGACTCTGACTCTTCTGATGACGAGGAACCAGCCAAGGCCAAGCCCGCAGGAACTAAACCTGCTACCCCGGCTTCAAAGCCTGCTACTCCTGCAGCTAAGCCTGCTGCTGCAGCAGAGAGCAGCTCAGACTCTGACTCCTCTTCTGAAGATGAAGAACCAGTCAAGGCTAAACCTGCAGCGGCTAAACCTGCAGCAGCTAAACCTGCAGCAGCTAAACCAGCAACCCCAGCCTCAAAGTCTGCTACTCCTGCAGCCAAGCCGGCTGCAGCGGCAGAGAGCAGCTCAGACTCTGACTCCTCTTCTGAAGATGAAGAACCAGTCAAGGCTAAACCTGCAGCAGGTAAACCAGCAACCCCAGCCTCAAAGCCTGCTACTCCTGCAGCCAAGGCGGCTGCAGCGGCAGAGAGCAGCTCAGACTCTGATTCCTCTTCTGAGGATGAAGAACCAGTCAAGGCTAAACCTGCAGCAGCTAAACCAGCAACCCCAGCCTCAAAGTCTGCTACTCCTGCAGCCAAGCCTGCTGCAGCGGCAGAGAGCAGCTCAGACTCTGAAAGTGACAGCTCAGACTCGGAGAATGAGGCCACCAAACCTGCAGTCCAGAAAAAAGCTCCAGCAAAAGCAGCAGCCAAGAAGCCTGCCGCTGCCGCCAAGGCTCCTGCAGACTCCAGTGACGACAGCTCCAGTGATGAGGAAGAACCCAAGAAGGCAGCACCAGCACCCAAGCCCGCACCCACGAAGGCAGCTGCTGCTGCTCCAACAAAGAAGGCTGAGGAGAGCAGCTCTGACTCATCGGATAGCTCTGATTCTGAGACGGAGACCAAGTCCACCCCTGCTAAGCCTGCAGTCACCAACGGCAAGGCAGCAACACCCAAGACAGCCAGTGCAGCAGCCAAGGCCCCAGCAAAGCCAGAGGAGTCCTCATCCAGTGACAGTAGTTCTGAGGAGGAGGAAGACACAAAAGTGAAAGCACAAAAACCTGCTACACCTGCTGCAACAGCAAAGACAACTCCAGCAGCTAAAGCTAAGGAGAGCAGCAGCAGTTCCTCAGACAGTTCATCCGACGAGGAGGAAGCACCGCGCAAAGCAGCCACAGCACCCACCACCCCCCTAACAAATGGTACGTCTCTAGCAAATACTGAACACAATGTGGCCATTTAACAGGGAAAAAATGTATTTATGGGCAAACGGCTCACTCAAGAAGCCAATACAAGAAAGGTCATTGCTTTTTACCCTGCATTTATTGGTCTTCTAAATGCTGTGTAATTTCATGCATCTTCAGTTTATGGAACACTTGTTGGTTTCAATGGTTCATAACTGATCTCCTCTAATTTCCTCTGATTCATGCAGGTACCAAGGGAAAGAGAAAAAGAGACGATGAATCATCAGAAAGTGAAGAGGAAGAGACAGAGGTCACAACACCCAAAAACAAGAAAGCAACAACCACACCTCAGACTTTCCCTAAAGCCAATAAGAAGGTAAGACCTGTTAGTGACTGATACTCAGTCTTAAGCATGAGTTGCCAGCAAATGGACGGTTTTCTAAAATAACTCTTGTCAAGCTGATGTCAGCTGGAGAAAAGCTTGTTTTCTTCATGGTAAATAATTTGTCTTTCAGTCCTCCAACATACCCTTCCGTAGAATAAGAGAAGAAGATGTAGATGTGGATCCCCGTCTTGCAGACAACTCTTTTGATGCAAAGGTGAGTTCAGTAAACATCCTTGTAGCAGCAGCATTGCATATTAAGATCACTGAGATGACCAAATAACTCCCCCTCACGCTCATTTGTTTTTGCGATTTCAGTATGGAGCCAGAGGAGACTGGGGTGAGAAAGCTAACGACGTACTCAGGTTCACAAAAGGCAAGTCATTCCGTCACGAAAAGACGAAGAAGAAGAGGGGGAGTTACCGTGGCGGTGCCATCTCCACCACAGTTAACTCCATTAAGTTTGACAGTGACTGAGCACCCTCTCACCCCGGTCACCTTCACCTGAACTGTACTGTACATGCGTGATCAGGACTACCAGTTGTCTGCTTCTTCCCCCCCCCCCTGTATCCAGTCCCTTTGTTATCACCACCAAGCAGCTGCAGCACACTGACAGAAGAATGTGACCTGTAGAGCTGAGCTGGCACTTCCATTTAGTTAGCTGCCCTTAGTTTGTAATGGACACTGTTCGTTTGATCTCTGTGGCAGCAGGAGAGAGATGTACCCAGCTGTGACTTCAGACTGTACTGGTTGACATCCTTGTGACATTATTATACTTATAGCCACTAGGTGGCTGCAGGCCACCTGTGAATGGTAAAAAGCCAATGTGTGTGTTGGGCCCCCTTTTTTTTCTTGTTTTCACTTTGTTGACCTGTACTTTACTCTCAAATGACAAATGTCCTGTCAGTTTTTGGTAACATCAATTTTTTTCTTTTATCTATGTATGAGTGACAGCCAGCCATCCCATCAGGCTCCTCTGTGTTTAAAAAGGCTAATTGGATTGGATTCTTGAAGTCTGTTTAGTTTTTTTGTTAATTTTTATGTGGCTACATTTAAATGTGGGGAGGGTGTGTGCTTGGGCTTTTTCTCTTAACATTACATAAAAACACTTAGTGAGTACAACTGAGTTTTATACTACGTATTTATTAAGTTTTATTCCATTTCAAACTTTAGGACCTCAGATGTTTCTTCCCATGCTATTCTTCAGCCATTTTGCTTAGAAACTTCTTCTGATGTTATGACGCCCCTGTCAGCCCCTCCCTGTTTTGTTCATCAGTGGTTTTGAGTTAATTATTCATGAACATAATGGAGCCATGATTGTTTCAATTGTTTGAATTTATGGAATTAACTTGTCATTTTTTTATTACCAGTTCCTGTAGCTATAATTAAAGACCTAAGAGATTAAATGTTGTTGGTGTGATTTTTTTTTTTTTTTATTCTTTTCCTTCCTTCAAATTGACACTGACTCTTTATTTTGTCTTCAGTTAGAGCAGGCAGAGCTCCTCCCAGAGCTGTGTTCACTCATGTTGACTGAAATGGGATGGAAGTCCAGTCTTGTAGGCATCTAAAAATTACAAGCTGCTTTGTTTCAGATATACATGCCAGCAGTTATTAGCTATGTTATTAAGTAATGCCCCTGGAAAATATGTACAATTCACATGGCAGCAGCATTTATTTGTGGAACTGAAAACAATGGTCATGCACTTAACCAGAAAATCAACCTGACTGCCTCAACAAAGCCACTAGATGGCAGTCAGGTATCTCTGCTCCAGTCCTGACTTTCAGTTGTTGAATGTGAAACGGCATATGAACTGTCTCCTTATTACCTGATGCCATGGGACAGTTTCGAGGAGGGTTGTTATGTCCAGACCTTACAGTCTGCCCAGCCCTGCTGTTTGTTCCCTGCACTCAACACTGGTACACATGATCGATGTTCTGTTTCACAATAAACAAAGGAGAAGCAAGGCTTGTGAGGAATGTACAGGTGGAGTGGTAACGGTAGAGGGCTGCTCTTTTTAAAGTGATATTTCACCAATTCCAACAATGCAGCAGAGCCTACATCGTGCACTCCCCAAATATCCAAGCCAAACCAGATATAACCCTGATGATATCACCATGATATCAGGGTTATTTTCTCAGGCTTCAAAACAAACCATAGAAGACATTATACAGCTATTTTAATTGACCGGGTAGTACTGACCAAGTAAATGATACTCATGTGTAATATGGGTGGAGTGCCCCTTTAACTACACCCTTTATCTCGTATTTGTTGTCAGCTTTACATTCTCATTTGGTAAACACATTTCATTTCACAGTTGCATCGATGACACCAGGTATGCCTCAGAGATACTGAATGCTGGATGTCTCAGAACATATTCAGCACAGTTTGAGATGATTTTAACAGCTCCTGTCACTCCCTGCTTTTATAAACCAAAGAAAGGTGGTTGTCTCTCCATGTTGGCAATAAAAACTGGTGGTAGTGACTGTAGTGCTACGTTTGATGATTGTACCAGAAAATGATTTTTTTCCCCCCTCAAACTCCTTTTAAACAGGCCTCGGTGGACTCTGTTTCTTATTATTGCATATATATATGTAAAAATAGAGGGTTATTATTTTTGCATTAACTTATAATACATGACAGATGGCACATGACATATGGCTTAATGAAGCATACACTTGCTCCATTCAGTGTGAGGCAAAAGCTTAATTCCTATGCACACCAGAAGAACAGCACATGTACTGTCCATAAAGTTAATGTGTATACACACTGAGCAAATGTGTACATATCTGTGCCTACACATAAAGAGGTGTTGACTTAGGAGGGAGGTCTGCAGCCACTCCAAATACAGGCTCCCACCCAGGTCTGACAACAGTTAACCACTGAGCGTAGCTCCAGTGCTCAACAAGCAGGGAAACCTGACAGAGCGTGCTTGCTTGGGGTTTACATGGCTGACCTGCTGAGGAGGAGGCCACGCTGTACAGCCACTGCAGAGCTGTTACTGGGCAATTTTTCAGAGTCTTGATGCCTTTGGAGGCAATGCTGCTTGGCTGCATGCTGCTGTCTATAAAATCACTATGGGCCACAGGAGCTTTCACTGAGCTATGGAAAGCAGAGTAAAACTGTTTTGATTTGTTATTAGTGCTGAAAAAGGTTAGTTCAATAACGGGACTGAACAGAAAATTAATTTTTTTTTAGGTAATCAACAAATTTTTGTTAAATGACTGTTATAACTTATCAGTTATGAGGCAAAGATTTCCCATCAGCTGCTCTTCTGTTTTATAGTATTATTAAATATATACAAAAATTAATTTCTTTGGCTGCTGGGCTGACATTACCTTCAGCTGTGGGAAAATATAATGGGCATTTTAAAAAAATTTCTGACATTGCATTGATTTGTTAATTTATCAGTTAATTAACAATCAACAGATTAATGGTCCATGAAAATAACTAGTTATAGTTGAGGAACTGCTGCTGGGGAAGGCTGTACAACAGATAAAAGGTCATGAGAATGAGTAACTGGTGTTTTCAAAGAAAACTATGTATCTCCAAAATAGGTGAGTTTTATGAATAATAATGGGTTCAGAAAATAATCCCATTGGATTAGTTAAATAATTAATTTTCACAAAGCTGAAAAAAATTAGCTCATGAAAAGTTGACATTTTGGAGATATATGGTTTTCACTGGACAGCAGGTTTCTGTTTGAAAGGAAGTGTTTTGAAAGAACTCAGGTAAGGAATACTGATGAGAGGCCCTTCAACCTAATCTCTGCCCAGCAATCACTCCTGAGTACCACTTCCGTCTGTCAGCTACAATGTGAGCGAGACAGCAAGCCAGCTTGTTTCAGGCCAATGCAGCACAGTGTGTGCGAAGGGGCTGCAGGACAATCTTTTAATGGGCAGCAGAGGCTGGGGACTGCCCATCCTGTCCATTTCAATTAGACAAAACTGCTGACTGCTCTTGCGCGCACACACACACACACATTACCATATTTTCTTCTGACACGCACTCAAACCCACTGCATACAATCAGCCATGCATTTTTGCCTAAAAATGTTAACACCACATTTCATTACACATGACAGATGACTTCCTTCATGCCCCACAGATTAGTCTAGCTAATCCTCCACTCCACTTTTTCTCAGAGACACTGTGTGAAAATGAGAACATGGCAGGACAACAATCCAACTTGCAAGTCGAGCAGAACAGTAGTTTAGAAATAAAGCTTAATCAGTTTTACATTATTAAAACATCTTTAATAGAGCATTTCTTTTACCATCCATCTTATATAAAGTGTTTCAGTGAGCAATAATAATTGGAAGAATACACACTTTGAACAGTACATTGCAGAGCAAGACAAACATCATTGATCTTCTACGGGCCAAAAAAAAAAAAGAAAAAAGAAAAAAAAAAGTTGCACCTAGAGCTAGCGGACTGAATGAAGAGGTACTAACAAGATTACAGACGTCTGCTTTCTGTCCCACCAAAGAAATAATTAAGGGTCTGCCATCAGTGTAGAAAGGACATACTGAGGCATTAATGCAGCTGAAGGTCAAATTAGATCGATTCCACTTCTTGTCTTGCCTTTTGCAGTAAAACATGTTAAATGCAGATATAAAAGTGCCACTTTTAGCGTTGACACTGCATTCCTCTATAGAATATATGGCACAAATACACATACACTCAAGTTTGATTGTATATTTGAAAATATACAAATGCTCACAATGCCTTGGAGAGGCACACTAGAGAAGCCTTTCAGGACACACAGTGCTGTGTCAGCATGCTTCAGTCACTGTACTGATAGCTTGAACTACAGCGACATGTGTTAATGATCGATGATGCCCCACTGGGCTGCAGTCCTAATGAGTTCATTGCATTAATTGTCCATTTAAGTTCTATTGAAGGTGAATGCTGATGATGCTTGGATGTGTTGTTGCTTTATTCACACGCCGTCTTACTGTCTCACTCACACGTCGTCTCCTGTCTCCATTATGTCTTTGGTGTGGCGAAGTCCCAGGCGGTATCCTGGGCACACTTCCACATGGCACGCACCAGCCGAGTGAAGCCCATGTCCTTGGGTTTCTCCAGCCCACGCATCAGCCGCTGCTTCATAATGGCTATGAACTCCTTATTACTAAGCTCTCCGTTCCCTAAGGAAGATTGACAGGGGGAGAGAAGTGGGAGAGTAGAGGGTGATGGACAAGGGGAGGTGATGAAATAACAGAAGGAGTAAGTAAGGGGATTCATTGATGATTTCCATCTGTCAGCGGGGGCATTATTTGGCGGGGGCAGTATCTCGGCTTCTTACCATCACAGTCGAACAGAGCGAACACCACATCGCACACATGGTCCGACAGCTCAACCTTGGCCACGGTGCGAGCCACCTGCTTCATGGTAACTAGGAGACAGAGAAAGAGGGAACCACAGACAGAGAGAGTCACCATTTGTGAAAGAGAGTGCAAGTGCACACAAACTCATATGAGCCAGCTCATAAATGACCCATGTGGAGGAGACTGTGCGTGAGTGTGAACTGCTTTGGATCGATAGCAGGCAAGGCTCCCATTCACCAGGGCGACTCTCTGATAGACACGAGACAGAGAATGAAGGGGCTGAGAGGAGGAGGAGTAGACGTGTCAGAACATCCAGCAGAGAATGAGACTGAATGAAGGGAATGAAAAAAAAATGGAGGGTGGGAGGGAATGGAGATGTCCAGAGTAAAAAAAAGGGAAATGAAGACATGGTCTGGGGAGAGAAAAAGCCTCAGGGTCATTTCAGTAAAACATATACATGACAAAAAGATGAAAAACTCCTTAGTCTCAACCAGAATTATTGATTAACAGACTTCAAAGGCAAGAGAGGACTATGAGAAATAGGATGAAATGAATGTCTGACAAATATATATGTATATATATCTCATTAGTTGGCTTCTTTTCTACATTTAAGAAAGAATGTGCTGCTCCAGATAACACACAAATCATCTGATTTGACCGTGAGATGACAGAGATGAGAGAAAGGAAAAGGGGACACAAAGAAAAGAGAAGAAAGAAATACAAGAGATCATTTAGTCTGTAGGAGTAGAGCGAAGGCTGCAGTGCACAGACAATAGAAGGATGGAGACAATTTACAGAGGCATGCCTGGAAGCTTTCTATGAACCCACAGCAACCTGATGTTTTCAATATCCATCCACAACACACAAATATACTGACACAAACACACACAAACTGAGACATGGCTTGTTACTGTGTAGACATGCGGCCGAAACCAAACACTGGAAAGAAGCACCTCAGGGTAGACCCTGCACTCCCTTAAAGCAGCAGCTGCTTCATCTGTGAATCAGAACTAATGGATGTGCTGACAGAAAACATGTGGAAACATACTGAAGGGCTGAATCACTGCGGTAAATGAAGGAAACAGCGACTCATCAAATAATTGCCATATTATAAAAGTCACAGGTCCTCTTCGCCTGTGCTGCTCTCACATTAAATTGACTTTCATTGTTAGGATCTGAAGGACAAATGAATTCAGTAAAAATGAATGTGTTGAGGAAGATAAAGGAAATAAGACTAATTTAATGACTGAGTTGACAATTAGTAATTGGTCTTCTTGAATAATCATTATAGACACATTCTTCAGGAGAGAGAATAAAGACTATGACCCACAGTCAACTCTCTGATATTTAAAGTAGTATTCCTTTTCATCAACTTAAACCCCATTTATGATGCTATTAATGGTCAGCATTGTTCTACAACAGCCATACAATGTATTTACATTCAGCAATTACCTCTTAATGGAGCAGTTTTCATTGTTAGCGGCAGAAACATCCAACTGCAGCTGCTTCACATTTAAAGTGTTCAACTCGCAAAAGTAAAGGGTGTGAAGAAGCCACGGGATTGATCTGTCACACGGTTAGAGCTGATAGTGATCATTTTTCAGAAATGCATCTACAAAACAAAATGAAAATCATTTTCTTTCTTTTTTTTATTTTATGACAGTGGATCAGTTTTCATTTTTGCAAAGGAGTGTTGGAACAAGAAGGAGCAGCCACAGTGAGCTGTTAGTTGAGGAGCAAGGTAACCAACTTTTTCAGTGTCCTGCTTTTTTGTGAATAAAATCTGATCACAGTTGCTCATTTCTGACAAAGTAGCTGCTCATTGACTATACTGTTACCACAGTAATTACAGGTGTTGCCAAATCATCCAGGACTAAACTCTTTAGAATTTAAATTTTAACGTATTGCTTTACATTGGACGTGTTGGTTAAACGTCCACTCACCAGCTCACAGTTGATAGTCACCCTTCTTAAGTTCAGGAGGGAAAGAGTAAACATGTAATGACGGGTCAGCTCAGTCCCAACCAGTCAGTGAGCATCAGTAGTATGCACTGTAAAGTAGGAAGCGATCTGCCATATGTGCATGTTCGTGGTCAATGGATTTAAGCATGTGCTCTTCCTACAGGCCTGAGGGAAGAAGTGGTGGACAAATGAAAGGATGGAGAAACAGATGACGAATGGCTGAGCTACGAATGGGAGCAAAGCCAGGCATAAAGAGATGTGGGAGGCGGATCAGGATGGCTGGAGTGTTAACAGCTCTGAGACACAGAGGGTGAAAGTGACGACAGTCAAGTCTAAAGAGGAGTAATTAAATAGCAGGAAAGAGAAAATGTCAGCAGAAAAGGGTGAATTTGGGTGTACCTTTATCTATGGAGGCTCCAGCCATGTGGTAGAAACTCAGGGCTGTGTCCACGTCATTCACGTTCTTTAGGAAAGTAAAGAAATTCTCCACCTCTTCAAATGTGATGCCCTGCGAAAGAGGTGCAAAAATGTAAAAAAAAAAAAAAAAAAAAAATCTGAGTGAGAAACCCAGTGACAAGTCAGGCACAAATCATTCCTGTAGTCTTGTTCGAGCCAGCACTGTGAAAAATCAACTACATATTATAATGACAAGAGAAGCAACTGCACAAAGCCATATTTGGAGCAGCTCAGCAGTGTGAACCAAATGACAAGAAGAAGTGGGCAGAAGCTGCCGACACACATGGATGAGCCGTGAGCCATGGACGAACAGTGGAACAGACGATCTTAGACACACATGCACATATACACATAGACACACAGCTGTCACAATGCTGATGAGCTCATTTGTAAAGAAAAGCAAGCAGCTGGTCTTAGGCAGTAAATAACACTTCTCTCATTTACATTACAGGTTATGCCAACACTGAGACATTGGCAGCGGGATGGCAAAAGAGAGGTTAAAATGAGAAAGAGGAAGAGAGAGAGAGAGAAAGAGAGAGATGCTTACTGCAGTTTAATTCCTTAGAGAGCCACAAGTCTGGCAGCACCCTCATCTTTTTCTCATGCCTGCGAGGAACAGCAGCATCCCTCCTTTCTCTTTTTTTCCATCTGCTTATTACTGCGTTTAACCATCACATTTGCCTTATCATAGCTCAATGTGACATATGTGGTGCTTTAATGTATACCAACATACTACTATGTGATGCTTCACTTTAAATGGAAAAAAAAAAAGAAAAAAAAAAAGCAGAAACGTGATGTTTTTTGCTGCAGCTCCTCTGAAGATACAATATGCATGGGTGTAACTTCAGTCAATTGACTGATGGGGCTCATTACAATGAAACAGAACCCAAGTTCATGCTAAGCACTAGAAACAGGAAAGGGATAGGCCTATAGTGAATTTGGCTCAAAGCCCTCCACATTTTTCCTGTTTGGTGTGTCCCAGTAGAGCCATTTTACTGCTTAAAGTAATGTGGTTGTGATTGGTGAAATAATGGCTGGGTGAAGGAAAGGTAAATGTCTTGTGTTAGAAACCTTGCATGGCGATACAAAGTAAACTAAGCTGAATAAGGAGTAGCTGATTAATAGAAGAGCAAACGAGGAGGATAAAGCCTGAAACAAACAGAGTGATGCAGGGGACGCAGTGACTGAGAAAGAGCTTATAGAGAAGCTCACACAGAGGACTAACTTGTGGCCTTCTGCTGAGCACTGGCTGCTCTGTATTTGGTCACCACAAACAGAGACAGTGGAAGGTAGAGGAGTTGGAGAGAGTGAATGTCGATGAGGTGGATAACTTCAGGCCCTGAATGTGGTGTCCTATCCCAATGATGTATTACCTCTCATCCCGTCTCTCTCACATGCTCACAATGTCCCAGCAAAATCTCCTTTTCCCTCAGGCACACACACCGTCTGTCATGCATCCTCGCATGTAGCCAATTAGATAAAACACTCACACAACCACATCTAGCACCATATATAACACAGAGTACCAATCACTTATCTCAGAGTTATGTGCAAGTATGAGATTTATCTACCTGTGCATCCTTAAACATCTTCGTCAGTCCCTTCTGCATCTGCTTGAGTTTACGAGACTGGACACCACTGTAGGCCAGCAACATACCTCCAAACTGTCTCTCAGTGATTCTGCCGTCCACAGGATCATTCCTCTCAAACTGGAGGAGGGGGAAGAGAGAGTCATGAAGATTGAGTGCTATGCAGAGGGACAAACAAATGAACAGGAGGAGGAGGGGAACATGGTGAGATGGGAAACAGTAAATACTGTCGTCAGGCTTCAAGCTGAATCATATGTGGAGCTGGCATTCGTAACATTAAATCTACATGTGCAATTTTTTTTTTTTTTTTTTTACAATGTTCCAATGAAGCATGGCTTCACAGCAGTTGGCCTTGGTTGTGTCAGGTCAATCCATTTGATTTATATCTGAGACTGTTTGACAGCTACACGGCTCCCTCCCCTCCTCTCTCTCTGAACGTGCCGACCTCTCAAAATGTTAATTTGCTGCACTTGCGAGAGGCAGCTCATGACTAAGCCACAATAAGCCTGGAGTGAAGATTTCAGGGGTGACCTGACCATTCATAGACCCCTGGAGGATATACCTTTTGTAAGGTGAAGTTTCTAGTTATCATGACCTCTTTATTGTTGTGCATGATACATAGCTTTGGTAAAGATAATCACCTATATATTATGCCCTGAATTCAGATTGCTATTCCAGCTCTACTACAGAATTCACACCTACGGCTGGTAAAATATGGCACAAGGTAAGCTGCAGCCTCCGCAATCAAAGAAAGAGGGCAAACGCATAAGATGCCTCGTGTTAAAACAGTGCCCACCTTATTTGTGGCATTATGATTGCACTCTCTGAACATTGTGGTATCATTAAGACCTGACAGATAGTGCTTTCTCTCTGGCAGATGCTCCAACTCAAGTCCTATTCCTGGCGCTTCAGATGACGGCGCCCATTACGGTTCAGTGTATGAGTTAGGCACTACCCACGCTAATTAAAAGAGTAACCATATGCTCAAAAACACTGATCAGTTGCTGTTACTGCAGAGAGAGGAGTTAGAATATGGTTTTATTACTTCAGTGTCACAGCTCTGAGAGGGTGACAGTGACCAGTGCTGACAGAAATGCACACAGAGTATTTGTCATCCTCAGCCCTTCTTTTGTATAGTGTATCACGCTCACCTGTCACTCCCTCCTCTGAGGGAGCAAGACAGCAAGATTCACTTCCTTTGAGTTAGTAAGCTGTTAATTTTCATGTGTGGTCCCTGAACAGGTGCAGAGGAGACTAAGATTTAAGATTACAGCAAAGCAATTACATTCAAATGAATTCATTACTAGCCATCTACTAACTGCACACAATAGTACAGTAAACCAGTAGATGAATATTCTCAGTATAACACTCTATCCACTCATTCACTTTCCTCTCTCATTACCTCTAGTTTGAGCACATCGTGCTGTAGTTTCCTCTGAAACTCCAGGAAACTGCCGATGGTGAGTTTTCCCTTCAGGTCTTCTCCAAAGAAGTAGGTGGTGAGAGCAGAGCTGCAGCCGGCTGTCTTCAGGGTGTTTCCTGTGGTGGAGCGGTCACGGTGTCGCATGCCCATGCTGGTCTGGGAACGTATGATGCTCTGAACCTAGGGATGTAGGGGGTCACATGTCAGACCGGATAAAAGGTGTATGATATGTTTTAGTAGTTGTGACAATTTACTTTCTGGAGTATATAAATCCATTAAGTCTCACAGAAATTGTTTTAAAAAATTCTTTAATCAGACAAATCCCCATAATAAAAAGAGGGTTGTGTAAGATTAGCTTGATTTAAATAAAGAGCAATTTCTTGGTTTGGTTTCTTCCCATTTCAAAGCAGTTAAATTCAAAAAGGACTTCCACTTATTCTCTTAGATAGAGGTGTAACTTTAAAAACCTCTATCATAATTATACTGTGCTCTATATCAAAAACCCCTTTCAGATCCAGTGGTAGATTGAGCAATGTATCACATACTGCAGCTCAGCACTTATTCCGCTCATCCCTTTTCCCTCTACGGAAATGTCACAGCGGTGCACAGCAATGCAGGGACCTACCGTTATTGGCTGTCACTGTGTGTTACTGGTTACTGTAATGCAACCCTCAGCTACTGTAGACATTAAAGCACAGTCTAAATGTGTGGGCTTGCCGTTTTAACCTTGTGTCTCCTTGAGTTGGTGTGTGACAGCTGTATTCAAGATGAGTGGCTAACCTGTTCAAACTCCTCCAGGTCCACCTCTCCATCGCCGTTGAGATCAAACATCTTGAAAGCAATTTCAAAATTCCTCTGGGGAGCTGGATACCACAGGACACACACACACACACACACACACACACACACACACACACACACACACACACACACACACACACACACAAATTAGTGCAACACAATGTGAAAACAACAAATCACAGTGGATCAACCTGGAGGACAGCCAAAGAGTTCAATACTGACTCGGTCATTACACATCAACTGTTCAGCATCTTCAGCCTTCATCTCACCCCCAGTGGTGCAACGTGGGACCATTTTGATGCCCTGAAGATGCTCTTCAGACTGCACAGTGAATTCTACACAATCGACCCCACCCCTCAGTAAACAGGGGAGCTGCTAAAAGAGACCACTGCCTACATGAGCTGATCTGGAATACTAAATTAGAATCAGTTATGTTTAAATGTATACCTCCACTAAACATCTGCTACAACACCCACTTCACTGACCACACAACCAAAATAAGTGAAATCTGTTTTTAGTGCAGCATGATAACAAGGCTCAGTTCAAAGTGTGAACACCCACAGTCTAATGATGACAGAGCAAGAAAAACACTGGAAATGGTTGGATAGCCCTCTGTAGAAAATGTGACTGCAATGCTCATTTTGCACATTGTTTATTTAATGCTGCATCTCAAACAGATATTCTCACTCACTCACTTACAAATTCATTATACTATTATAATTAAGGTTTTTGGTTTATTCTCTCATTACAAATACTCTGTATTTATTCTCTTTGCTTTATTATCTTAACCCATAAAATCTACAGTTTCTAACTACTGATGCCAGTTTTGGACAGTGACCTATCCTATTCTTTGTTGTTTTGTGGGATTATGTGTACAAGGGCTGTAATTTGTAGACTGTGACAATAATGATGACATAAATAAAATACAGAGCCTAAACATTAATATTTACACTCATATATGATATTACCTGGATTTGTTGAGTTCCTTTCAATGCTTCACATTTTCACTGTACAGTTAACTACTATAAATTGAGATGCTTCAACAACCCAACTGCACTAACAGGAATATTGAAGCTTCATCTTTTCTTATCTATCACAGGGTTCAGACTGCATGAAAGCAGTAAATATGTGGCACTATGAGGCTTGAACCAATGTGCATCTGTTAGGCAAAATATGTCCTCTGTACTATTTTTGTGGCCGTGTTAAATGGATTGAAACCAACCATAAAGCATCCTGTCCTGTCTGCTTAAAAATGACTTGTCCTTGAAAACTTCCCCGGAGATTTTGACCATATGAATGGATTATGATAAATGGTCGAGCTAAGAGAGAAGTTTACCAGTCATCAGAGAGGAAGGAGTCAGAGCTTCATTTCATTATCATGAACTCACATATTCAGAAAAAAGACATTAATGCGACATGTGATATGTGCTCCATGTGTCAACCAACAGGTCCTGCTAAAATAAACTCATTCTGTGAAACACAACATCTCAAAGGCTGCTAGCTTGGTAGACTCACATTATTAACTTTGACAGAACTGGATATAATACTGAACGGACAGCCAGCTTCGTAACCTGCCTAATAATATCATATTGGAAAGTTTCTCTGTTTGAACTGATGCAGTAAGAAAGCAGACAGAAGACACAGAAGAGATCGTCTTGGGATTTGATTTATGATCAGTGTGGAAGACTTTAAGGATGCAGGATTGAATAGGATGGGTCACAACAACCGATAGATCTCTGGGAAGACTGTACAGTTCAACGATGTACTTACTGGACAGCACAGTGGTAAGGAAGATATAGTCAGAAAAGGAGATGAGGCCACATTCTCCCAGTGCGTAAAATATGCTGTCCTCGTCTGCAAACTTCTCCCTCTCCTGGGCGATCTTCTGCTCATCCAGGCCAGGACAATAAAAAAAAAAAAAAAAAATTGTATTAAAAACATTTCACATGATTCAGTGCCAGCCTTCTGGTCTTTACAGCTGCCCCAGGTGTGGCTTTGTGTGTGTGCAAGCAAGTGTGTGTGTATCTGACAACATAGCTCAATTAGAGACGCTCAAACACAGAGATATACACACATACTGTACTTCCACACACACACACACACACACACACACACACACATTCAAAGTAGTTCTGGTGTGTAAGGATGGCTATGTATAGAAAGTTTATCACAATAACATTCATGCAAGTGCTGCGTACACATGAAGCCATACAGCCAGGTGAGGGTGGTGGTGACGATTAGTTTGTGGTCAGTTCAAGTACAAAACACATTACCAGAGGTTTTACTCACAGTGTGAGACTGACAGAAAGAGAGGGAAACATCACAAGAGACTGTAGCACAAACATACACACGATTGATTAACCATGTTACCACATTAACACAACTGAAATGTAGTATTTGCCTAATTGTTAAAAAACAAAGTGACCTCAGCTCACTTTCACACGCAAACGCACAGTTTTTCTGTTAGCATGTGTATATTCACAGCATTGCATGAAAGTGTGACTTAATCACATGCACACGACACACTCAGTGATAGAGACTCGAAAGACGGTGTCCAACTAGTAGGACGTTCCACCAAAGAGAGTGGACAGATGGACAGAGCATGCCTAAGGAGGGGGAGGCTGGGCTACTCTGAGCCCACGTGGAGTTACCTCCGTCTGCAAGCGTCCCATTTCAGAGGAGGAGGAAGGAGGAGAAACAACTGTTAGACCACAGCATGGCCTCTGCTGTCTTTAGCAGGGCCTTGAACAACAAAGACACGCATGTACATTCATATTGTCGCACAAAGCACACACACGCACACAGAAAACAAGATAATTGGGGGATACCACTCAAATTAAGAATGCAATTAGGTTTTGCGGTCGCTGTAGTCTGTAATTAAAATTGGCACGCATGAATGCCTGTCAGAACTAGAAAGAATCAAGCAAAGGCTGTGATTTGCCCAAAAACACAAAATCATGCTGCTCCACTAACAAGTCATTTGTACTGTCTGTCTCCTTTTTTCAATCTTTTTCTATCAGTATTGTCACTGGAGCCGTATACTCATTTCAAATGAAAGCTAGTCCCATATTCCCTTCAAAGGAACATAAATTAATTGGGAAAAGCATTTCTGAATAATAGTATTTGGTGGTATCCCCCTAAATAGCATAACATGAGCAAATTCTATTAAGTTTTTCCCCATGGACCGACTCCCTCCTCATGACGTATAGACTGTATAATGGCTGCTTAAGACAAGTGGTTATAAAATGTATCTCTATCCCCAATTTGCTTCTATCTCAACTCTTACACATCAGAGTTGCAAATATAGAAAATTGTGGTTTCTATTGTTACATTTATTATTGATGGTATTTACAGTATAATGGGAGAAGGGAGTGGGAGAGAGAAGGGGAGGTGAGAGAGAGAAAAAAGTTATTTTTGAAGCAGTGATACTGGTTGAAGACAGAGACAGACATATTGAGGTAACAAAAAACATTTGGTGCCATAAGAGTTGAAGGCTTTCAGGTGTTTGTGTGCGCATAAGTGCAAGAAAATACTAGACATAGACAGATAGAGTATGCACATATGAAAAGAAGGAAGAGCAAAATGAGAAAATGAGAATAAAAGAGGTTGGTATTGGCCTCCTGAGTTAGGAACAATGACACACAGAGAAAGCTCTCTGGGCCTGGGGTGAGTCCTACTGCCAGTCCACAAAACAGAAAAGGTCCACACAACCACACAGGTGTGTATTTCAGTGGGCAAGCGCACATTCATTGCCAAACAGCTACACAACTACGCACATAAGAGACATAAACACACTCGGCCTCATTATAATGATCAGAACTGAGGCACAAAGCATATTAGGCATAATAACTCGTTTTTTTTTTTTCGGCGTCCCGAGTCAAGGACAAAAACACCCCAATCAGAATAGCCAAAATGACATTTAAGGAAAACAAACCCAAATGCAATGGCCAAAGACTGGATCCAAATCGCATACTCATCTGATAAAAGAGGAAACTTCAGAGTGTGTATGGGCATACTAACTAATAAACACAGAGCCTTTTGTCTACTCTGATGCTGCCTGTGTCCCAGTTAGACGAAAATATGATTCTCTCTTTGAGGATCTCAGTCTGCAGCTCCAGACTTCACTTCTGAGCTGACAATATAGCTTTCACTCTTTCTCTCTCATATACAGTGGGCTATCAGACTTTACATCCCTCCAACAAACATCTGATGTAACACTGTGCACTCTCTCAAGCAGACACAGAGGTAAAGCAGAGTGTTTATCAAGCTGTGCTGTCGGTTTAATCTTCTTCTTTTAAACCTTTTCCATGGAGCTTGTGGCACTGCTGTAAGATCATGTCCCATCTTCCCCTTCATCCTCCATCTTTCTGTCACTAAAGATGTGCAATATTGGGTGAGCCAGCGACAACCCTCTTCACAGTTTGAAAAAACTCAAACATAGTCAGATAAAAGGTAAAATGTTTGATCTAAAAGAGTTACCCATTAGGTAATTTGATTCCCCAGACAGACTTAGTTTGTAAGTCTCATCAGTTTAGTCTTTCATCAGTTTTGACTCATCTACCCAGAGGACATCATGCCTATAAAACAAGCTGCTGCCATTACTAAAAGGATCCCAGATAAAATGTTTGTATTTAACACTCATTGTAGATCTTTCCCAAAGCACAGATCTTCAAATGACTGTAAACCTAATTGCGGCAGCACTCAAGTTAATTAACAGCTGAAGCCTTCTCTGTCAGCGTGTGTCAGTGACAACTTGTGTCTGTGTGAATGTGAGCATGAGTACTTTCTAAACTTCTGCCTAGAGTGTGTTCATGTGATCATACATGTCTTCATGTGTCAGCAACGTTATGGCCAAGTCCGTGGGCTATGTCCAGATGACGTACTGCACAACCCAAGTAGCCTGTGAGCTGAGGCAGAAACACAGAGCTGACAGAGCTGCTGGCTGGCCGGTGCTGTCGGCAGGGCAGTCAAATGTACTGCTGTCACATACACACACAGACGGGGTTAAGGGTTTGGTCAGGGATAATCTCTCCAGTGCACAACGCTTCATAGCAGCTCGATAGCTGCACTGGCCAAATTTCATCTAGGCGAGGCTTTAAGAGCCCAACAAATGAGACAAGTCAAGCACAGCCAGAGGCATGCATGCAAAAGGGCTGAATCTCTTTCTGCTCATTTCACATGAGAGGCTAAGAAACACTTTCTAAGCACACCACTGGAAAGTTGCATACTTAAAAAAAACTTGAACTGCATAAAAGTTCTTTATGATTCTCTCATTTCACTGTTAAATCCATGACTGATCCAATCAACGCTTGTAGCAATACATTTTTAAACCCATTGCATCTATCGACTATCTCTGACTACAGAAAATTCACCAAATGATTAAAGTTTTAATAAATCTATCTCAATTTGTTAGCTTTCTTTTACTCCCAGACAAACATATAGCTTTACATACCATCATGCTCTGATGGGTTCAATTATATCACAGCTGTGCTGATGAGAAGGTACATTCCGGCAATCCCGCATCATCATGTTATAATAAAAGAAAAAAGGTAGCTGTTCAAGTGACTGTGACTGAGATGAGATATTATTCAACACAGTATCCTGCACTCCTCTAATGTGGACATTAGGATACTAAAAATATGTCATGTGCCACCATTCATTTTCTGCTAGCTTCACTCTTGTTATTTACACTGCTCCACAAGCACTTTGTGTGGCCAGGCACTTGGCTGCGGAGGTGATGACAGCTTAGACTTGGCCCTCTCTAATACCGCTGTACCGGCTGCAGTGCTTTGTTATTGATTAGATCTGTGACCCTGTCCAACACTGCAGCTGCAGTCACTCCGATAACAGGAGAGAGGAAGAGAACTGAATGATGAAAGAATGAGATATAAGCCACATCGTTTGTGTTGAGACTTTAAAATAACTATCACATAACAGACACAATGACTTTTCTAAGATATTGTCAAATGAGTGTGTTGTCTGCGCAGTCTCTTCTGAGCACCGCAACAAAGAGATGAATATATGGGTCTAGGCTGAGACCTACCACTAAAGATGGAAATCTCAGGTTGCAAAAAAAGGAAATTTGCTCCCATTCCCTTTACATTCATGTGTGGTGAGTGCGAGTGTGCTTGAGTGATGCCTGTCCCTGAGCGACCTCTCATCCCTGGTACAAGTGAGTCTCGTTTGAACTACGTGTATTGGAGCGTTGCACCGGTGGGGATTTACTGATTAAAAAAGAAGCAAGATATGTGTACAGTGTGATGGGGAGGGGGGCGAGAAAAATGCATTAAAAATGGATGAGTACCTTTGTGCCACTTTGTGTGATGTGGTAGTTCTGGGGTTACAGTCACTTTGGCAGGTACAATGAAAGACGTGAGTTTCAGGGGAAAGGGAATTCAGAATGACATGCTTGAGGGTAAAGTCAACCCGGGTCTGAGCCTGACCTTTCTTGAATGGTGGCTGAAAGCTCTTACAGTGTATCAGTGCACTTGCCTTGTACTGCGTCACATACAGTTAGGGCACATTCTCCATCTAAACCCCAAAGAAAGCCGCACACTTCATATGATTACAGCCTTACACACACAACCAAAAACCAAAATCCTTGACCATCAGAGTGGTCAAGAGTGAATATTTTCTCCTTGTATATGATGATACCTTGGGACCAAGACATCAGTCTATAGGTGGGAGGGCAGGTATGTGGGTGGAGAGAACATTCATGTATTAGCTTTCCACCTCTAGTCCCAGGAGTAACTGCAGAGCAGGTGTACCGTTAATATCTCATAATTATTCTGGGAGCACTTTCAGAATAATGGGCCCTGATGTGGAACGCCCAATAAACAAATTGCATTCGCTGAGGAATGGCAGCTGTCTCGTAAGAGAGAAGGGGAACCAAATGAGCTGACCAGGTGTCACAGACAACCCAACCTCTTCTAGATTAGGAGAGGGAAGAGAGACAGAGGAAGAAAGAGAAGGACTTAGTGTGCAAGTGTGTTTATGTGCTCATGTGTGAGTTCTTGTTTATAGACACCGAACTAGACATAGAGGACAAAGAAAGCATGTGAGAACTGAAGACAGTGTGAAAAGACATAGAGATAGAGCTGTGACAGTCCAAACAGTGGCCCCTGGGAGCTTCCTGTGAAATCAGAGAGAGTGAACATGACAACAGTTGGTGTGATAAGAGGCTCGTTTCCATTGGAGAGCCCCCTTTGCGCGCCCTCTGAGTGACAGGTGTCGGCTCTCAGTCATAGCAGGTCCTGCAGCAGACGTTGTGGCTTTATGTAGAGGGAGGGCCACAGCATGTAGGAACAGTTTGGATACATTGTACAGACCAAAGTCCTGCCTTCAGTGACTCTAAACCATGCTCTACAGAAATCATGCATCACTGACATCCGGACAATCCAGAGGATGGATTTGTGAAGGCTATCAAGCACATCAATACAGCCTTGATGTTAGCTAACAGAGCCATTTCCTGGGTCCAAGACCACCCTGTGATGCCACCATGCGCAGAGAGGGGGCGCCACCACCAGCTACTTTCTCTGTGAGATGCAGGCAAAAGAGCAGTGCATGCTGGGAAAAAGGCTAGAATGCCAAAGCAAGTGGAAAGCTAGAGGTGATATATCTTTGAAGACATGAAAGGATGAGGAGAAAAGGTGTGTTTATAAAGCAGGACGTAGGGAGTGCAGGGGAACAGCACTGCTATGATTTGGCATTGATCAATACAAGTTCCTTATATGTCTTATTTTAGCTGCTCTTTGCATCTCAGCTTTGCAAGACTTCACATTCTTCTTAAATTTCCACTATAAATGTATGTGGACTGACTAGTGTGTAAATTATGTAGCAGTGCAGCACTGTTTAATAATCCCTGTAAAAGGTAAATTAGTAAGTCTTCACTTTTAATAATTCAGCAGGGACGGCACGGCATGCACCTGCCTCCAACAAGCTATACAAAGGGCACCAGTGAGACCTCCAACTCACTGTCCAATAACACAGAGTTTGTGTTTGCATATTTGATACAAGGGCAGTGCACACACAATAGGGTGCGTGTCAACTTCAGTTTCTGACACTCCCTTTCATTATAAGGTGAACAGGTTGTAACCCGTCCTCTGCTGCGCTCGGCTTATCTTCACGTTGACTGACAGAGGCATTTAGATCTGCTTAAAGGCCAAATCATTTAGTAGATAAAGCTTATAGGTCAAGGCTTATTTATCTACACTCACCAACATAAATGTGTATATCACATTTTAATCACAAAAGGTTTCTCCAAGGCACTCTGAAGAAACATTTTGGTGCATTGCTGGAAACTAGAAGCAAGCGAATGCTAAAATGAACGCATACACATTTATGTCAGTGATAAAAGTGACTTAAGAGCTCTTATATATGAAATTAACAGATATGGCAGAGGTGGAGAACACCATGGCAACAATCAGATTGGTGTTTCCTCCACCATATTTGTTATTTTCCATATTGGGACATCTTAAGAGTGTATTACTGTGCTTATACGATGGCCACCTACCACAGGCAATAAGAGAAGCTGTATTCAAATCATCAACCATCTTCAAAGTTTGTTTAAAAATGGCTGACAGTGAAACAGACCTAAGCCCTGGTTAGCAACATAAATGCAGTTATGGTTATCTGCAGTTTGATGTACTTTTGCACTGGGGTTAAATAGTTGACCAGCCAATCAGAAACCAGTACTTTTCATGGCCATGATATAATTTGCTTATTATATAAGAAAATGCAGTGCCATTGCTTTATTCTATTTCCATCCTCGTATGGTTTGACTTCTCCCTTCTGGCTGTGTTCAATGCCTACAGCATGTAAACCCTGTGAGAGACAAGCTAGATGTAAATTCAACATTCTATTACCAGTCCACTGATTTCTTGTTAGAAATTATACACTTTAAACACACAGTTTGGCTGCTGTCCTATCCATAGTGATCGCTACCGTAACTGAAGCCGTGTTTCTGGTTTCACACTTCCTGAAGTTGAGATGTGGTAAATGCAGGAAAAACTACTAACTTAGCTGTTCCCCTGGACTATCAACTGTGAATAGCTATGTCCTCCAAGTTACTACAGAGGAGTGAGAGAGTGAGTAATAGAAAGGTAGGAAAAAATAGAGAGACATAAGAGGAAGAACAGTAAAAAGTATAAAGGACAGAGGGAGTAGGTAGTGACTACAAAGTGCAGTTTTTCATTCAGGTGCACACATGCTGCTCGGCACACACCCCATACCTGCCAGAAGTCCTGCAGAGAGGGAGGGGCAGAACAGAGAGGTGATGAGAAGGGACGGAGGGAGGGAAGGAGACAGAAGAGGAGTAGGAGAGTAAGGGGTGGTTGGGGGAGTTTGTGGTCGGACAATGGGTGATCAGTAGATGGAATGATTGGGGGAGGACAAAAAGTGGGGATTTCGGGAGACAGGGAGTTGAGGATGATGGTTATTCATGAGGAAGGGAAGAGAGAGAAAATGGAGGGATTACTTGTTATGTGAATGAGAGAGAATGACTGATAAGAGCATGAGAAAATAATCAACAGTTAACAATGGCATCATCAGGTCACATAAACATAAGATTACAGCAGCTGAAAGCATGTCCACATGATCAGGGTAGGAGGCGAAATCACAGAGATGGAGTGAATTAACAGCAGAGAAAAGATGCAGTCAAACAACTGGTTGAGTAAACCAAGCAATCCCATTTAAAGGCTTCTAAAATAACTGTGTTCGCATGGACAGGAAAATAAAAATAAAACAAACAGAGTGAGTCAATATGAACAACAGTTGTGAAACAACCATATAGGGCATGTAATGTTTGCTACGTACAAACTGAACCTGGAACAAATTAGTGTGAGCAGAGAGAGGGGTGGGAGGGGGGATGTCGTGAGAGCTTTACAACAAGTACACTTTTAAACAATCTTCCACTTTAACTGTGGCTGAACAGTATGTATGTGACAAATGTGTCAGGTGGCTTGGTTATTTGTAAATTAAACCACAGGAAGTGAGACACAGGTGTCTTTTAAGAGAGCTCTCATGTTACTCTCACACGATACTGTAGTCCTGTCTGCCATCGACCTTAGCCTCAATCGTAGTTTAGCACCCAACCCCCAGCTCAAACACTCCCCTTGTACTTCACCACACCCTCCATCGACTTCATGATTTACACACTACAGATATCGCACCACTGTACTGCTATGGCCATTTCATCTAGGTCTAATTCATTGCAGTTTTTAGTTTCATGTGAACTAGATTTCATGGTTTCTTGGCAGGAAACAGTAATGGTTTATTCCTCTCCCAACTAGCCAGAGGTGCCCATTAAGCCAATGAGTAGTCACGTGTCTCTGGGCAAGAAGGGGTTTGGATAAAGCCTATCAGGGAGATGGAGAGGGGGGGGGGGGGCAAAGGGAAAATCTCAGGGGATAACCATAGCTAAATACAGTGTCAGAGAAAACTATGTGTCCAGAGATTTGCCTGGCAAATAAAGGAAACACAAGGCTTGGAGATAGGAATGACATTTCCATAGGCAGACAAGGGCCATTAAGGTACAGTGCTCCATTTCTATTTGAGGCTGCCACAGAATTTAACATTTACTTTTTTAAATGTATAGCACAAGCTATTTAGTTAATGTGTTTTTGAAATAAGGGTGAGTCAAAGTTCTGGAGAATCTTTCACAAAGCATAAGGCGTGGTAAAACTAAATTGCAGAACGAGCAGAGAGGGGGAGTAATAGAAGAAAGTTGTGACAAAAAAACAGACTTTGTTTTCTCTTTAGCCTCACTGATTTGGTGTGGTTCATCTGCCTGCAGCATTGAGATGAGGTACAAACTTACTCATCATCATCATATGGGCAATGGACTTTGTAATTAGTTTAGAGTCTACAATCATGACAGCTATGACCATTCACAATAAATGAGTATGGATGGTTGGCTAGTGGGTGTGAGAGATACTCCCTGAGATCAGAGAGAGGGTAGTAATGGTCACAAATCAATATCAAGGAAAGTGGACATGAAAATAATGATGTTGTAGATTTATATTGATGGTTTCTATTTTCCTGACTGTGAACAGAGAAATGTTAGCACAGAGGCTAGCTCTTTTTAAAGTCAAACTGTAGCCATCGAGGGGAGGGGGGAGGTGGAGAGTACCCTGTCCAAGGTTCACTTGCTGTTCTCTTTAAATAGTCACTACAGGTCACATTATGCACTGGGCAGGCCCACTTTGTGCCTCGTAATGATTCAATATGGAGTTGTTCTGTTAAAGATCCAGGCTTTTCTGAACTAGGTTTAACTAACTGGATGTTTTGAGAATTAAGGTAGGTAGGAAGAGGATCCCTGCGTTGGGTGAAAAGTATTTTCTTCTTTACCCATTAAACCTTTTTCTGAACTTTTACAGTTTAAACTGTATTTGGAAAGCAAGATATTCTGATTATTGACTGTAGCCTCAACTCATATTGTTTTTCATTCACAGTAATTGACGGTTGAGAAGCCGACAGCAAAGCAGAAGACATCAGCAAAAATAAAAAAACATCTCAGAGACTGTATGGCTTTGACTGTTGTATGTAATATATCATTAATAAAAAATTTTGTATCAAATTTGTACCTGCAATGGAAGAAACTCTGTGACATTGCACATTTTGCATCAGAAAAAGTTAAAATACACCAACTAACATCAAAGAAGACCCAGAAATATCAGCTAACTTTCATATAGATGTGTTTCTAACAGTATGATAATTTCTGCACTCCTTGCTGACCTGACAGAATGTAATGTTGTTTTCCATTTTTCCTCATTATCTCTTTTCATATGTCATCTTTTACGATGCTATAACCCTACTGCCCCTCATGAGTATTTATTCATTTCTGTGACACTGAGTTATCACCTCAATTTATACATTGTTTTTGTTTTATTTATCCATTTTCTTCAATGTCATTTCAGCCGGAAAGATGAATGAATGTGGCACTTTTTGGGTTTTTTTATTTATTTATATTATATATTTATATATTTCATTGAAGGATTTCATTATGCTATTATGTAATACTACATTTATGGGGATTGGGATTCAGCAAAAGACACTTCCAAAAAAAACTAACATGCTGCATACTGTTTCTTTATAGATAATATCTGACTTTTTCACTTCATTTCATTAACAGTTTCATCACTGTAGTTTTCAAAACTCACTTACAATTCATCCTCTGCGTATGCATATTTAAAATCCAAGCAGTAACAGATAAAACCCTTAGTGTACTCTGGGGTTATAAAGCCAAATTATCAAGTGCAGATGTCATTTGCTTGATCTTTTCTGTATGGAAATAAGATCAATATTTAAGAGTTTGGACATGAAAGACATTACATTTTTACATTTAAGGTGCTAAATTCAACTCCATTATATTGTAGTAGTGGCAGACATGTCAGAGGCAGATATCATAAAACCTCAATAATACAACTGACATTATCTGCATGCCCAGACATCACCCTGGGATAAGTGTGAAAATGTGTTTTTTGTATACTGGAGGAACAGATTATTCAAGCTGTCATTGACTTTGGCCATTCTGGGGAATAAACCCCTGTGGTAGACTGGAAAGTTGTTCAGTGGGAAAAGACATAAGCTCTGATAATATGTAATTAGAACAGAGTTTTCTGGGGAAATGCAATATTCATTTAGTTTGGGATGATAATAAAAACTCCCTGCTGTTGACCTTCATGATTGCTAATCTATCCTCTTTACCACCAAGACGCGCACTTCTTACCTTGCCATCATAGCGCTTCACAATGAACTGATCGAGGCCTAGATCTGAAAAAGATACAGAGAGAGAGAGAGAATAAACAGATGCAGATTAGGAGACAAATATAACAAATGAGATGAGAGGCGGACTAGTTGCACAGCAGGGGCATCAAGATGTACACCAAACATGAAGCAGAGTAAATGTTTTTACTTGGTGTCATTACTGAACCACTAGCTATCACTGACACGTGCTCAAGATTAATAATGGTCATTAACAACTCATTTCCATCTTGACAATTCTTTAAAATAAACAATCATCAGCATTCAGCTTTGACTTCTCTGATCATCAGTTATAACAAAGTTCTCAATCAGGGTTTATTTTATAGATCCAGGTCGGCAGCACAAAGCAAGATTAACTGTATGTAGTATTTATGTTAATATACATGATTGCTTGAAATCATGTATATCATGTTTGGATGCTTCAAATTAATGTCATTATATTATACAAAGACAATGAATAATCACTTCAATGAAGCACACGCAACTGAAAATAAGAAAATGTCATTGTTGCCTGGTCTTCCTGGTTTTCCTCACTGTAGGTCTATTTCTGTGTCATGTCTTTCTATGCTTAAGTTACCGATTCATTTTCTAGCTGAACACAATTCTGCTTCCTGCAAGGAAGATATGAAAAGTGACTTCCCACACTTATCACTAAACTTTATCAAATATACGTCAAACTTGAGTTATGAATTTGTGTCAAAAAGACAACCATACCTCCAAACTAATGTAATTCATACTAACAAATCTTGTTGATGTGATTTTCTAAACTCTTGTGAGATGCAGCAGTTGTCATCTGTTAAATGATGAAGGATTTGGTACTTGAGTAAAAAGACAATCTGGGAGTGATACAGGCTCTTTATATTACACAGACAGACTACGCACAGAAAGACTATGCTGACCTGATAAAACAGTCTCAAACCAGATTAAGTTTGAGGGTGACGGTTAGAGTATAATCCCATTAAACTGAATGCTAATGAAGTGAACATCATAATTCAAAAAGTTAACTTCATCAGCATTACAGAAAACCTAATCACACCCAAGACCTCTATAAACAGCCTACCACCATCTTTTGCTGGGTAAATAATCCTTTAACCTCAGGTCAGTTACTACAATAAACTGGGATTCCCAATTACAGGGCTGGAATCCTGAGGTTAAATTCACATTTCTAGACTTGTTATTGTGCCAACAAGGTCGGTCCCATTTCAAGAGCTGTTTCAAACGCACCTGAAAGTAAGCCTTCTTTTGCCCACATTTGAAAGAACACAGCTGGTCTAGTCCCATCAGCCCTCACTACTCTACACTCTGTCTTTTAAATTGCAACAAGCTAGTCATAAAATTCACATTTCAGCTTAACAAGGAGCATGAGTATTGGTCCCTCCGAGGCTGGACTTTTGGATTTGATGATACTTTGTGTACTCGTCCTCCTGAGGATCTATTGTATCTCTAAACCCTGTCCAAACAGACCATTCAAAATAAAAGGGTGGCTAAAACTAAAATCTTTTAAATTACTTATTAAGTCCATTGGGTTATTCATCATCTATGAACCAGAAAATCTGTTGAGCATTAAAACAACAAAAGCAACTGAGACCATAACTTTTTTAATTGAATAGGGACTGTTGATTAACCTCACTTGGGTTGGGGTGCTTTAAAAAGAGAGTCTAATAGCTGCCTGTGAAGTAAACTGCAGTTTCTCTTGGCTTTTTCATCTGCTTTGCTGAACCTTCTCTTATCCAACAGAGCTCAGGTCATCATTACTTTAATTTCAGTTTGGAAGGGCAAAAAACAGGATAAAGAAGTGAAGAGCCTTGGACTCATGAAGTTGGGAAGAGAGGTACTAGGTCTAAGAATGGAAGGCCCATGGGGGCCAAGCTAGGCCAAGTCTTTTACGTGGTTAACAGATAGAAGTGCTGAGGTGAACAGGAGAGGCAGCGCAGACGTGACAGGCTCAGCTAAATCCTTATTAAGTGCTAACTGCAGGCTTGCTTCCTCAACTGTGGATGAATGCTCATGATCTAAAAGTTGTTACACGCAGAGCATTTGCCTGCAAGTCTGTGCTGGAGGCTAATATACACCTATACAATAAAATGTCACACAAATCTAACTGAATAGAGGTACTGAGAGGGGGATGGTAACAGATCGAGAAGACTGGCACTGAAACACGTCAATGCCAAGTTAAGCTCCCTGCCGTCCCAACCCTCCCATGGCTGAAGATCAAATATCTCTCACTGGCTCCATGTGTGACGCCTGAGATCTGCTCTGGTTTGAACCCGTTAATTGAAACACCAACTGCTGTGTCGTAATTCCCTCAACTCAGCGTGATCGGACAGCCTTGACACTCCCCTCCCTCCCCGCCTCCCTTCATACTTGTGAACACAGTCAGTGGGATCATTATACCATGAACTGTCATAAGTCTTAGACTGCCATGCGAGTGTTAAGTGTGAAAGTGGGCTGTGTCAGGTAATGCTCCACCAGAGGAGAGATACAGGTATAATGTCAGCACTGCTAACTGGAAACATCTCACCCAGGATAACCCTGAACATTTACTTGACTCTCAAGCAATAAAGGAAAAAGGAGTGAAACTCATAGAAAGAATAGTACCATGCCAGTGGGTGTTAAGAAGTCACAAATGAAAACTGAGCAAAGGCAGAAGAAGGAAAGCAAAGTAACTCACTCTCAGGCTGTTTCTCATTAGGTGTGATGGAGCGTATGAAGTCCTGAGGTGTCATGTAAACCTCAGCATCTCCATGCTCGCCGATGACCTTCAGCGTGGCAAAGTAGCGGAAAATCTTGTCCGGAGTCGAGTAGGCCCTTATCCTGTTCTCATACTCCATCACCTGCCAACCAGACAGGAAGTACAATTAATGACCCAAAATTTCACACATTAGGCATGAGCACCACTCTAATATACCCAAACAACAAGCTCAAAGAACCAGGAATATTTCAATCCAGTGAGCAAGGTAAATAATCTGAGGGAGAGTTAAAAGAGTGCAGAAGGGGGGATGGAGTGACCAGAATAAAGAAGCAGGTGTCAGCAGGATGGGGAAGTATATTAACCTCCTGACTCTACTACCACATAATAAAAACTGGGAACAAAGTGTCAGTATCAGTCTGACTGACGTGTTAACATGAAGGGAGACTGCAGAGTTATCACAGCTCCAGAAAAGCAGTAAAAACCGTGCAAAAGGCTAACAGCGTGGCATCAGTGACATACTGAAGTCCAACAATTTGGAAAACACAAAAAACTAATTTATTCAGCTCTGTTACACGCATTAGCCATTAGTCAATGTTTGTTTTAACACTGCCATCCGCTTTTCAGTAGAAAGTTTCAAACCGATGCAGCATAACTGGGAAACTGACAGAGTGGCATCTGTTTGGGAGCTGAGAGCAGCCACAGTCTTCAGAGGTGGTTATTTTATGTGACACTGAATGATTGTGTAAACTACACAAACTCCCTGTGGAAAAAGTAAAACACATTTTACAGCTTCAACTTTTTGACACTGTTATCCACTTCAATTGGATAACAAAGAGAGTGAGAGAGATTCATAGAATTTGATCAAACTAGATTCTCTTCTTGAGACTGCAGCTATGATTAAGTTCTTCAGTGATGGTTCCTGCTCTTTAGCGGACGTTATTGGTCTTTAGGGAAATTACCAGGAGCGTGTCTCCCAGAAGAAGCAACCATCAGTGTATGGATGAGAGGTTATAGGAAAGTCGTGTGGAAGTGCCTTAGAGCATAACTGATTGAAAGCCTGTGACACACTGTCATCTGTGTCGAGCTCTCATCTCCTCAGATTTACAGGCTACTGAACTCAGCGTCACCCACACTGACGGAGACTCAGGTTTGTTCTTTTGAGCTTTCAACCTTTTATGCTCTCTCTTTCCATTACAAAAATTACATTTACACAATGAGGTGGGTTGAAATTCAAGTCATGCCAGTTATTTATTCATTTTTAATTCAGACTTTCAAAAGTTGTTGTTCAACATCTGAGACAAGAGGTTTAAATCTTAGTAAAAAGGTGAAAGCATTGAATTTTAAACACACATGAGAGTGGAAGTTCCCTCCTGCTGCATAGTTTTCCATTAGAGTTTATTCAGAAAGTCCCTGTCACCTTTGAAAAAAGTAAAGACAAAAAAAAAAAAAAAAAAAACACATGGAAGAACCAAAAACTCCCAAAGACTTCCACTTCCGAAGACATCTGGATGTTTAATGTTCACGGTCTTCCCACCACACATACTGTAAACCGCCATCAATATTTGACCATTTTGACAGCAATCTCAGTCTGATGCACATGCATGTACATGTGCACACACACAAACACAGAATTGACATCAAGCAGTGTACTTTAAATACTTCAAACATACATTCCTCCTTTGACATAGTCAATGAGCTGGCACAAACAACTTATTTTTACCAACACACTAGTAAATCCTGTGTTGCTGTGATTCACTAAAACAGTTTACTCCCTAGACATCTATATGCTTTCAGCAGACTATGGCTGCTGCTGCAGAGGCAAGAGTAATTGCACAATTTCTACATCTGTACCCATAAGTCAGATGTACCATTTCATCACATTGCTTGAAAGAAAAAAGGCATCTATTGGTCAAAGAACCTTTGTTTCCTTCGTTCGTCTTTTGTCATCTACTGCCTAATTAACAGCAATAAAATCTTGCGGGTGGCATATTTCTGTTGTTTATGACAGTAGAAAATGCTCTCCAATTCAACTTGTATGTCTCCATAAAATATACTGTCAAAATGTACCAGCGTTTGCATATTGGGGATTGATTAGGAAGGCATTCAAACACCATTCTCCAGGTGAATTAAACAGGGGACTGTCTGAATGTTTATTGTTTATTGATTACCTTGCGGTCACGGAATCCAGAACGTGGCTTCTTTTTCTTCCCCTCTCCAGCTTCATCCTTCGTTTCGTTATCTCCACTTGTGGCCTCTACCGATTTCTCTGACTCCGTCTCAGAGTCTGTATCCCTCACAAAATCCGCTTCCTGTCCACCTGGTTGCTCGGAGTGTCGAACGGATGGCCCTGCATCCGCATATGCTCTTTGTTCAACAAAGAAAAAGATTAGAAAAAGATTAGTATCTCAGGAACAGTTCTATGTCTATGTCAAAGCGGTTAAGTATTGCAATATTCCTTTGTATTTTGCACTGGTACCAAGTAGAACAGGTGAAGTACTATAGGTATGATGCTAAGCAGAGTTCAAACAGATGTGGGGGGTGGGGGGGTGGGGTTACGTGTTTGACTGTGTTTTACTTGTCTGTGCAATGCAGAGCCCACTCCCACTTGACCATTTTTCTGACTAAATTGAAAATTGGAACAATAATAATAAATAGCTGGCTCTGTCTGGAGCAGGCTGAATAATTCAGTTTAATGAGACACAAGGAGAATGAAGCCTGGGGTGAAGGCCTGGAACAGTCTCGTCCCATCAGTCTCAAATGCCCTGAGGCACCATCCATCACTCTGCCTACTGCAGCACTGTCATTGTGTCCCAGTAGAGCACTCACGTCAACACCCTCTCTACCGCTTTGCCTTAACTAAACACCAGTCTCCTTAGTAATGGATAGCCATAAAAACATTGTGACATCCCTGGGGTGGTGGCTTGGAATGTCAACAGAAATGCAGGTACGTGACTTGATTGGGGTGGTTTCCCTAACAGCTGTGTAATGTTGGGGAATAGGATCTGGCATGTGCTCAATAGTCGACATGCCGTTGAATACTGTACCCCAAGCAAATCCTAGTATGTGGATCAATGTCTGTTTATTTAATGGTGAACACACCAGATAGGGGAACTTGCAAGTCATGGCGTAAGACAGTGCACTCCAAAGAGAGGTGTGTCGTTCCAGGGGAATATCTTTGATGTGGTAGGAAAACCAGAAAAAATGCAGCTCAAAAGATGTGAGAAATGAAAACACAGTCACATGACATTGTTGCAAGCAATGTCGTGTTTGGGGGTAGAGGGGTATTTGAAAAGTTTTAGAGCAACTGTTTTTTAAAGTCTTTATGTAAACACATTTTGTAATTTTTGGTTATTTTTATGTGTATGAAGAAATTCTTTGTGTGTTTTCAAGTTTGCAACTGCATAAATAATAAATAAAGCATTTTTGAATTTAAGTTAAGTCAGGTTTCAAAAGGCATAATTATTTTCTGCATAGACTGTAGAAGCACACTGGTGTAGCCATGGATTGAGACGTACCTTTTCCAGAGAAGCCCAGCACTAGCAGAAACACCAGTTACACCAGCCAGGGCTGCCAGCATCAGCCTCCTCCGGCCAGACACACGCACTGCCCCACTGTGGTAGCGCCGGGACAACTGCACTAGTCCCACTGAAACTGCAGACAACGCCCGCAAGCGGAACATCCTGCACTGGGGAAAAGAGTGTGGTGAAATGTAGAGCTGACAACCTATGAGATAAGAAATGCTCTTCAATGTTGTTTTAGGGTATTTTGTCCAGCATGTTACAGCAGAAAAAAATTACAACAGCCGGCATAGATCTGCTTCTCTTATTGCAAATACTGACAAATGAGAGGATAAAACCACTTCAAACTACACAACATACTGTATATAGCATCTTAACATCACATAGAAATGGGCACACAGCTCCCACTGTCTTAACCACAATCCATTCTCCAGTCATAAGCCACTGAAGTGTTAGGTAAGGATTTGGAGAATTTGACCAAAAACTAATTAACACTTATCTCAAGTGGCAAAGCTTAAAACAACAGCAGTTCACTCTTGGGATCTGTTGTCATACTGCACTACAGGCAAAACTGTACCTTTAACAGTCACTGCATAAATGTCCTGGAATCCTCACACACACCTCATTTAATAAACAACGGAAAGCAAGGATAAAACTAATTGCCACCAGTGCAGCTAAGCTCCAGAACTTCATTTTCAACCAGACTGTTGCTTAATTCATCAGTGTCACGGAAAGATGATTAACAATTAAGCAAGGGGCTACTGGTGTGCATCTGTGGCTCCTATGTGTGCACTTTTTAAACTAAAGGACAGAGGAGTTCATCCCACTGAGGCCTGCAGCTGCCACCTGTCGATACCCTATTAACAATTCAGACACCTATTGTCAAACTGATTCAGCAGAAAGAAAAAAGAAGACATGGCATATGCTAATTGGAGTGTTCAGCAGCCCATGACAACTGACTGGAGGGACTAAGGGGAATAGTGAGCATACATGCACACCATTTTTGTGGAACTGGAGACAGCTAGATCTTAATACACTGGTACCAAAGACTGAACTACAGAAACCAGCAAGACCAAAAACGTGTGTAATGCAACAGGAGAACCTGAATGACAGTTGCCTGTATAGATGGCTTTATAATTAAGTACCAAAAAACAAGAGCAATCACCCATATTTGTACAAAACAAAATAAGAATACGGCCATAATTTCTCAAATTTTGCCCTGAGAGAACATCCTTTAGCTAAGGTGTTGTATAGCCTGATGGCAGTGGGAATAAAGGATCTCCTGAACCACGTTGAGACGTTTGCTGCACCTGTAGCTGCATCTCTGTCCTGCCAGAGTGTTGTGGAGAGGAGGGTTGGCCTAGACTTCCGAAAGTCCATGACCATCTCCTTGGTCTTGGATGTGCTTAGAAAGAGGCAGTTCTTGTCGCTCCATTCACTGAAGGCCATCGTCAGATCCCTGTACTCCTCTTCCTGCCCATTCCTGATACCCACCACAATAGTTGTGTCATCCAAGTATTTCTGGATGTGGCAGGACTCAGAGTTGTATTTAAAGTCTGCCGTATACAGGGTGAACAGGAATGGAGCCAGAACAGTCCCCTGTGGAGCCCCAGTGCTGCTCATCACTGTACCTGAGACACAGTTACCCAGCCTGATGTATGCTCAACTGGAAAGAGTTTTCTCATCTCTGCCCCTACAAAATCATGACACAAGTACATAATGTGCCACACAAGCCTATCATACACAAGAGACAGAAGGACAAACACAAACCACTGATTTGTTTTTCTTGATATCTCTGACTCTGAGCTGCCAGCTGAGGATCGCCAATTTTGGATAGTGTAATTAAAGTCCACCTGGGCCTTTGAAGCATGTCTACTGAGATGAAATTAATCACTTTCAAAGTGAGAGTTACCCATGATCTGCAACATCCCCAGCTGTGGGGCTTGAAGCTTGTACAGAAAATAATTTTCTACAGCTGAGGCATACCAATGCTCTAAGCACAAAGAATGTTACTCCTACATCGAACCCCAGCCAAGTAGGACTTTATTTTAATCAATACTGCCCTCCTGACAGAATAAGGCATGGAACTTTGTTTAGCATATGGATGTCTCAGGCTGTACCGTGTCAGGGTGAGCCAAGTGTTTTAAAATATTAATTCTGCTTCCCTAAAAAGCATTAAGTCCAGCCACTCCCACAGCACAATCCTGAATCACATTCAGCCCCTGGGACCAGAAACTGACCTGGGGCCTGGTGAATCAATATCACTCTTGGTCATTAACATTATCCACCTCCTTACAGTGACATGTATTGCTGATGTGTTCTGATGTGTGAACACTACTTGGTACTTGGATGATCCCATCCTAAAAAAAAACAACAAAAAAACAAAAAGGGGCAGAAACGGAGCAGGCATGTCACCTCAACAGCCTGTGGCACTAAGAATGATGATTTATGTCCTCAGTTGAAACTAGTGATGCATTCTTCACAAATAACAGTAAACTCTGCAGCTCCGAGATGCTAAACTTTGCAGTTCCTCTGCTGTTAAGAGATGTTTTTTGCATCCAAGCAGTAAATATAAACAGAGAGAGGGGATTATTGTCATGAGTATCAGAGGCACAGATGAAGAAGAGTTTGCATGTATACCTCCTACACTCAGTGTCTTATGAAAAACAATTGTCACCAATTTGGAAAATTACAGACATTGCATAGATCTTTAAGCAGATCTGCAACTTGCTCACAACTTTCTTAAAAGTTGATTCATTAACTAAAGTTGACGAAAGCATTTTTAAAAATGTAAGCACTGTCACACATTTACAAACTGTTTATTATTACCTTAAGGTGTATCACTGTGAATCAAAATACACTGGACAGACAATCAACATGTAACAATATACAAAGGTTGGGCTATTTTGACAGTGTGGTGACTCACACCATAGTTGGCCACATCTCACGCCCAACTGGAATATCAAGAGTATAGACACAAGTGTTAAAGCAGTATGTATCTACTGCTGGTGATTAAACCAACGTGATTATTGTGTACCGCCTAAACAGACCGGGTGGCTCAGTTTGGTCGGAATCAACAATTTCCAAGAACTGTGGTCCAGAGGCACCCAAGGGTCCACGTGTAATTTTCCCAAGTAAGTTGAGAAGTTTACTTTCAGCAGAAGTTAGCACAACACTAACCTGTCTTAGAGTGATAAGTTTTTATCCTCCCAAATGTCACATATATATCTAACCATATAACGTTAACATCTTCACAGGTGAGCACCCAGGAGACAAAACCTGCCTTCGTCACGTGGGGGTGTGGCTGATTATTTGGTCCCCAACGGAGAGTCGGTGTTTGACATTAATATTTAACATAGCACTGTCACCAAAAGCCAGCATTAAACGTTAATTATAAACCGTCAGATGTCATAAATATAACGTTTAAGATAATATTCTTGTCATGTTTATCATGTCAGAGCGGAAACGTGAACAACCAAACTTTTCTCGTGATGCACAAGAACATCAATGTTTTGTTTTTAGCACCAAGTTAAGCTCGTTGACAACAGTACGCAGTAAAACAACGTTTGCTACTTGCTGTCTGCTATCCCGTAATAACCTACATATTTTCAACGTCAGTCCTAAGTTAGAATAACTTGTTATTGTTAATGTGACACAACTATCGAGTCCAGCGGTGACAAAATTGTTTCGTAGGGCAGCTAACGTTAGCAAGCTAGCAAGCTAACAGTTCACGTTAGGATAAATGTCTACTTTTAGCACCGGAAGCTGCTACTGATTATAACGGTTACACACTGCTTGGTTAGAGAGGTGTGTTAGCAAAGAAGCACCAAGGTTACTCACATGAGTGACAACACAAACGCCAGTCAATCCAAAATGATAGTGTCTTCAGTTTTTCAGGGTACGTCTTTACCTCTTGTGTCTGCAGAGATGTAGCGCAACGCAAACAGCAGTTCCGTGTTCACCAGCAACGGGGTTGGGCAACATCTCCTCACCCCGCCCCATGCAGTTCAGGCGGGTTACCTCCCTCTACTGCTGGGGATGCACTTACAGTGCAAGTAAAATCAGAGGAAAATCAAATGACCAGGCATTTATCTCACCGATCAGAGACATAGCACGCTCTGATTCTGCACAGTTTCTCGCCACAAAAGAGAGTTGAATAATCGGTGTGAAATTGGTAATCATCGAAAGGTAATATGAAGAAAACAACTTCACGGCTGAAAAGACAAAAACACATTAATTTGAATCAGTCCACCCTGGTTTTATATACTACAAATTGAAGTTAAAATGAAAAGGTGAACAAACTGACTTGTACACAAACTGCATGACAAAGATGGTGATAAAGGACCCTCATATTACCAACAAATGACTTAGTATTTTTTCAGATCAAACATTTTTTTTACATATTAATCAGGACAGGTACAATTAGAAACGGATTGTCCATGAAAGGTTCAGACATGCAATATCTAGCATTTCTTTATGGTCTGTTGTGTGTATATTTTCAAATACGACAATACAACTTTTGCAATTCTGTTTCTCATTTAAAAACAAACCCGTTTCAATATCATAAATGAATTGAACTGGGAAATAGGGAGTCTGCTGTCAGTCATGCATGCCTTGACAGAGAGCCAGCATAAAAATGTATTAGAACTTAATGACTTGCCTCTTTGCAGTGTGGCAGTTATAATTGTTGCCTTGAATACATATTTGCTGGACTGAATGCTTAATATGAAAGGAAAAGCTGGTAAGCTGCTGAGCTGGCTGAGGATGTGTCATAGATGACTGCAGGTTGCAGGGACTTGTCACATCTAATCAAAGTGCAGGTCAGATTTATGCTTGACGTGGCCTTACGTCAATGTTAATGAGATTATGAATGAACTGAAGATAGACTCCTAGACAATACTGCACAGCAGTGACTGTTTAGTTGAATCTAAACACCAGTTGGGCCCTTTAAGAAATGCCAGGAATGTTTATCTTCCCCTCCACCAACATCCATCAACACAGTGTAATTAACTAGTAGATTTAAGTTTCTTACATAACTTATATTATTTCATAGCCATACACATATTCTTAAACTTAAAAACAGCTAAACAAAATTGTTCTGTGCAAAGGGCAATTGTCCATTGATTTTTTATTAAGTGTCATTGACAAGAAACATTCTGAGAACGCTCAGTTGCCACTTTGGTCAGACCCAACCTAATAATATTTACTGCTTAGCTCTTGGCTAAATGAAATGACTCAATACACCTGGAAGAAATCTAGATAATAAGTTAAGACATGCATGCAACCAGACCAGTAAATGCACATTTGTGCAGTTGTAAGAGCAGGATGAGGCACGTTTGCTTCTTTGCTCACATTACTCCTGTTCTGAACACTGCACACTGCTTAGAATGCTGTTTATAACAACATATTCTTTTTATTGTCATCCTGCTTTGGTAGATTAATTTGTGTTAATCTACAGAATGTGAATACACCAATCCTCTGTTACTTTGTTGTGTCAGATCATCAAATTCTCTTGAAACTTAGTTAGGTGTGAGGCATAATGCAAGGATGTTTAATGACTTTGGATTGATTCTTTAAAAAATCAAATTAGAAAATGAAGCCAATTGTTTCTCCTTTGAGGATTCGTGACATATAAGGAGCATGTGATTTAATGCATTTATAAATGGAACACTGCCTTGACAAGTGGGGCCAGAATCTGAGCATTCTGTCAATATATTGCTTAATCAATACAACTATTACAATAACAAATGGACCTGTGGTCAAAAAGGTCAGGGGCAGGCAGTTCTCTGTGACTGTTGTCTGTGTGCTTGTTTGATAATTCATCGTTGCTTCATGTAGCTGCAGGAGTTACTGATTTCAGTAAAGTTTCATTGACGTTGAGGTAATTATTGCCTTAACAGAGCAGCACTTTAATATCAAGTACACACTGAAACTAATATCTCTAGTTACCCTCTCTATTACAAATTACTATCTATACTAATCTCTTTGTCTTTTCCCACCAAGCAATTTTCAACAACCCCCCCCCCCCCCCCCCCCCCCCCCCCCCCCCTTCCCTCTTCCTCTCTTTTTAATACAGACAGCTACTTAACTGTGCCTGCAGCCCTCCAGTGCAGGGTTCATTAATGGAAGCAATTTATTGCAAGAACCCCACAATATGTAACTGTCCACTATTGAAATTTCATATTGAATTTGAATAGCTTCACAACAATAGGGACATCAGCATGGGCTGGGAGTCCACAATGGTGGTGCAAATTTCTCTAATTCAAAGACATTCATCTTATTCACAAACTCCATGTCAGCCTTTTATTCTTCGCATTAACATGCATAACATATTACATATTCATTAAATTGTCCAGTAGATATGTTTGGGTTTGGTAGACGAGTTTGGACACTGGAACTAATAAGCTTCCCAGCACTACTTTAAATACACACAACTTGCACATGACACATTCAAATGTCATACAAAATACATACACAATTAGTTCGTTTGAACTGGTTGGGAAGGAATAGCTGCTAAATAGCTGTTTTTAGATCTGTAACCATGTCTGAGGCGTGTAGTCATGGTGTAGGGTTCAGTATCCTGGCCCGTTAGACATTAGATCTTAAGGATCAGCTAACAGCCGTGTAAACCGTAAAACACACCACATGTCATGTTCCTACTCAGGTTTCCACTTTCTGACTCTAGTGCTTCCCATTAGTCTGACTTAATTTGTGTGTAAGGTTAAGCATGCAAGATAACTGTTTAGCTTGTGGACGTCATGTAGCAATGTAACAGCAATAGCGCTGCACGCTAAAGCCAATCTACTGTTGTGACATTGCAAAGGTGGAGCAGAAGATAAGACAGGCCTGCAGAGGAACCTCCTCAGCTCAAGTGTTTTTAGTGCATAGCAAAGTGTTACTACCTCTGTGACTTGTTTGGTTTAAGAGGCTGTGTTACTGTTGAGTGCCACATTAAGATCAGACTCGTGAATCTATTGGGGAGTGTTGGATTTACAGCAACGACAGCGGCTTTTGTGCACCCAAGCCCCGACTGAGCTGCTTTGTAGAGTGACAACTATGGTGAAACTTGATCCACAAGTTATACCTAAATATAATGGTGAAAGGCAGCTCAGGTGAAGACCTGCAGACAAAAGCAGGTTCCCGTTACAGCAGTCATGTTGCTGTGTGGTGTCTGTGAGCCTTCATGTGAAGAGTAAGCAAGAAAAGAAAGGGAGCATACACTGCCTAATTAGGTTACATTATGTTGTACCTGATTGGCGGTGTGACGAAAGAGAAGTTACACACCCAGGCATGCTTGCTTTCGACTTACCTTTTTATGCAGGGATCGTCAATGCTGCTAGGAGACATTTCAGTCATGCACAGACATGCAGACATGACATGCGCACACACACACACACACACACACACACACACACACACACACACACACACACACACACACACACACAGGCATGGATACACAGTTCATTTTGTATTCTGCTCAATTCATTCATCTCTGACCTTGAGATATGGGTACAGAGAGTTTTTAAAAGCAGTTCTGTCACTCTGAAAGAGCTTCTTTTTTTCTTTTTTTTTTACAGTAGGCAGACAACTGAAAAAAGAAAAAAAGATTAGTGTCAGCACAGATTATAATTTGAATTGCATTAATCTTAATTTTGCTTGAATTTGTCATGCTCATATTGAATCCCTGAATTCAGAATATTTATGCTTTTGAAACTGGAATTTAGGAGGCACAATTTGAAATGAAAATCAAGCTTTGGACTATAAATATGAATAGACTTGTTTTTTTCGGTTCAGACCACTCTGAAAGTATATGTAAATATATTTACATATATTTAAGGTCTGAACAGCATTTTGGAGTAGTAGTGTCACTTGTACTTAATCTTGTTGTCTAGTGCCTAGTGTCTGCACTGTTACTAGCCATCTTTATGGTGGGAACTGGCTAATTTAATATTTTGTCATTTATTTAACAATAGTTATGCAACTACTTTTATTTACTTGTGTGAAGTATGATGAGTAAGATGAGTATATATTGAATAGATAAGATAAATCCAGTTACTGTAATCATCTAGCATATACACTAGGTCACATTAGGATCCAACAAACTCAGATACTGAGGTCTGAGGTATGTAAAGAAGCGTTGGTAAAAAAGTACTGGTTAATTACCTTTTGTATAGCTTCTGTTTATGAACTGATTACAATGATTGATTGATTTCACTTCATCGCAGCTTCTCTTGTCTAAACTGCTGACACACCATGTGCAAATGCATATGTCATGGTACAGTTACAGTGGTAGTATAAAGGTTTATGTGAGCCAGTGCTTGGTAGTGTTTGGCATCACACAAAGATTCACTTTGTGAATCGATGCAGCCTCAAGGCCTTGAGCAGGTCCTTGTCCATAGCTGAGAATTTGCATTTAAATTGCATCGCCCACACAGCCTGATGCACTGCACCTGAAGAAGTACAGAGGGAACTGGGATGAGTTCTGGAGCAATGAAATATTACAATTGTATTTCAGAAACAAACAGAAGACAACCACAATCTACAACCACAAAAAAAACAAATCTTTATTTGCTTTTTCGTTATTTATCAATTTCTTATTCTCTAAAGTTTGAGCCATTTTATCATATGAATTACCACAATGACAGTTACAAAATGTTTAGTGTTATATATCAATAATTCAAGACCTACTGTAAGCTATCTGGTTTTACCCTTGACCAATACAGGTGTGGCAGATGGTATTGTATGACTGGCTTGGTCAAAGATTAAGGAGAACAGGATACATTCCACTGACGGGAGTCTCCTTGACATTCATTGACCAAACAGACCCATTACCACTCCTATTACCTGCATTTGCAGTGGTTGGGTGAGTCTACAGAAAAAAAAGCACCTCATACTTGACTGCTTGCCCTTATGTTCTACCATTTAGGGACAGGGGCTCTGAAATGCATTAAAATAATTATACATTAGGAAGTGGCCATGCTGTTTAAAAGTCATTGAAGATCACTTCAATTAGATTTGATCCTGTAGGTTTCTCTTTGGGGACATTGTCACAAGAGTGACTGAAGGACAAGCTAATATTAGACACAGTTGTAGAGGAATAGATGGCGTGGCCAGTGACAGCAAGCCTGCCAAGACGTAGCCTAACTGAGAGACAAGTTATATTGTGTCTGTCTCTTTCATGACAGCTGGATATCTTTGAAGTGAAGTCACCTCTAGATTAAGTGCTAAGTTTTTTTTCTGTGGTAATAGCTGAGAAAGCCGGTATATGCTGTACATACAGCTACAGATGGGTATGGACACCATCTTTTACACTGTATATCTATACCCATGATTACTTGTTTTAATTTAGCAATACCAAAATAAACAAAAAATTAGTAGAGGAGATCAGGAAATTACACACAGTTGACTGTAGTTCTATTGCCAATTGATTTACCACTGTGATTTATTTATTTATTTTTAATACACGAGATCTATTTCTTCTAATGAGTTTATAGTTTTGTTTCTTTCAGTACTGGGCATTACAGATGTGTATATGGTACCCAATACTAAGGAAAAACCACAGACCTCTACACTACACACAAACTACACATTTGTTATCTTGCAGGATTCCTCCATTGAGAGAGATAGGCTAATTTTCAGAGAGGGAGCTGTGATTACATTTTTACTCTCTCTGTTATTTCTACTGAACTCAAATGTAATGCAATTAAACATGCAAATACAGCACTTTGAGAACCACTGTCCTATCACAACACTTTGTTTCCTGTCACGTTTGTGCACATCTGTAATCAATTTATCATATGACATTTTTGTGACCTTCAGTAGAGTAGCTGAGTTATGGATGCGACAAGTCAAATGCAGTCTGTGCATATGTTTGTTTTGAATTAGCCAGCACAGGAGTGTTTTATCAAGGCATACTGGTGCAACACTGGGCATGTGTACGAAGCCGTAGTCCAGCCCCGCAACCCGCCCACCACCCTCCCTCTTCCCTTCGGTGCGTCTCGGTCCGCCCGCAGCAGTCTCCTTCTCGTCTAGGTTTCACTACAGAGATGGCTGCTAAAGTGTGCAGATCAGTACTCCTGTTGTCCCGGAGCAGCGGAGCGGTGGCCGGCAGCCTCCCCGCACTTGTTGTCTCTTCACAGCGACATCATCAGCACATAAGACCGGTAAGTCCCAGGACGTGTGTAGCGCACAGGCAGAGGTGTAGGACCGGGCAGGCAGGCTGGACCAGGAGGGAAAGCAGTGGCTGGGCTGGCTAAGGAAGTAAAGCTAACTAGCCTCAAGATTTTCCGTTCGCGTCTTTTCTTGAGATTGCGCTGTACGGAAAGGTGAGGTACGAGATGAGTCATGATGTGTCCCAACCCGGTGTCGTGTGGGTATTTGAATCCACAGTGGGACGTAGAGCTTTGACAGAGGCAATGCAGTTTTTTTTTTTTTTTGGGAGCGCTTGCTGAAGCCCATCAACACCCCCTCTGGCGCTGCCCCGCCGCTTACTGTAACCAGCCGTCAGACCGCTCTGCTTCCACATAATGCCTCATATCTCATCATTTCTCCCGCGTCCTTCAACTTTGCAGACATGTTCTTTTTTTTCTCCAGCCACTGCTGTTCTGGTCGCTGTGTGTGTGAATCTGAATGCGAGCCCGTTGAAGGTGTTGGATTTTTTCTCTGCAGGAGATGTTGGGGTTGGTTTTGGTGACCGACGGGCGAGGATGGTTGCCTTATTTATCGTGCAGTTGCAGTACGGATGTTTGGTGTGAGCAGGTTTCTGTGGGGGGTTTTTTTTTTTTTTTTAGGCTGCAGTTTTTGCCGATCATCTCTCTGCTTCTACATGGTGTGTGTGAACTGCAGCGTGTTGGTGCAGCAGCAGAAACTCAGAATAATGAATGTCTGCACAGAGCTGGAGAAGAACACCACAGTTGTGCTTGTATGAGAGAGTGAGAGAGTGACGTGCATACACACACACACACACACACACACACACACACACACACACACACACACACACACACACACATATGAGTCTTCGCTGAAACATGGAGAGCCCACACTTATGATGTCAGACTCTCCAGCCAGCCTGCTGTTTCTCCCCTCCCTTGCGGGTGTTTCCCCATTCAGCTGGGAGATCCTGGGTTTTCCTGCAAGCCGATTCAGGTCCATTACACAGACACTGTAGCAGTAGATGCGACCTCACAAAATGCTTATAGTAACAGGAAGGTAATTATGTTAACAAAATTGCCAAGATAGTGCACTAGTTGCACATGTTGTTCCTGCCTCTTGTGATCCACTCCCTCAGCTGAAACTCTCAGCCTTTACAGCAGCTGCCCGAGGAGGGAGGTGAAGCACAGGATGGACCTGAATGCAAAAGAATGAGGAAGTAATTGCAGCCCAGGACAGAATGCCCCTCTCTCTGTAGCTAGGAATACTGCTGTGTTATTTTGTGAGTCTTCCTTTGCCACACAGCTCACTCCCTTTTACGTTTTTCTATTTCTTGCTCTGTATTTGGCTTTAATCACTTTCCTCTCTTTCTCCTGTTTTTTTCTTTTCTCACCCTTCCCTTACACAAACACGCGCACACTTGCCACAGGCCTTGTGAAATCAAATGAGGCTCTCCTTCCTGTGAAAACAGACCGGTCTGGGGGTTAAGTAGCTGTCAAAATAGACAAACTTGGTCCAGATCTCCACAACGGCCCCTGGTGCTGTCACCTACTGTGAACTATCTTAATAGAACACGTTTGCCCCTGTGGAGAGGAAGTATTCTCCCCTCTTCTAAAATAAGTGGTCCTATTTAAACCTGAAGATATTTAACAGGGTGAGCCATGTCTCGGCAGAGTTACCCCTAATAGGTTTTCATTTTATTTCTGTCTGCTCAGGTTGTAGTTTTGTTTGCCTGTCATATTGTGTCTTCATCCATCGAAGCGTTGCTGCTGCAGCTCTTAAATCGGGCCTGTCACTGTGTGACAGCCAAGCCTCTGTACTCAGTTATGAGTCCTTCGCTGCAGTGTGGGAACTCTGTGTTTCTAGACTTGTGTCTATAAAGCTGCAGTGGGACACGTGCTAATGAGTTGCCATTAAGCATGTAGTGTCTGTTGGCGGGACATGTTGCTCCAAAGACACTGCTAAAGCCCAATTTGAAGCAGTGAGCAGATCGACTGCTGCTTCTGTGACGTGCAGTCATGATAGGTCAACTCCCCAGGGATGCAAAGCAGACTGTGGCCTCCAGAGGCTCACATTTAACCTGCGCTGGATTACTATTGAGTCAGCTGTCATATAAAACGCTGCTGTCATGAAGTTTGGCAGAAGAGTTGAGTCATTGCAAATGAACAATTGTTGTAAAAGGGTTATAACTTATGAGTTGAAGTGGCATTTTCCATAGTATGTGTGAATGTCAATATATCCTGATGCTGCATCCAAAAAATGGAGAACGTTGGAGTAAAGAGATCAAATCATGCTCTCTTTGGTTATTAATTTCCGTTTAAGCCGACACGCTATTAAAGCTGAGCAGTTAGTGGCTGTAGTCTTTGGGGGCAGGGGGTCAAAGCCCACTCCTGGCTTTTAATCCAATCAGTGTAGGAGTAAACTAATTTATCCCTGCTGCCTTCACAAGCTCTCTGCTGAAGTTATCCGGATTAGTGTGATAAGAGAGTGACTGTCAGCTAGTGGCTGTTGTGTTCTGAAGGTGATAAGACAATTGAATGATTGATAAACCTGTCCACACAGGCAGTTTCATTAATGTAGTCCTGCCCTTTATGGGAATCTGGTTTCTGACTCCATTTATAATCTCACATTTACATGTATGACCGAGAGGGGACACAGGTGTATTGTATGGAGGACGAAACGTTCTGACATGCAATGATGAATGGAGTCTTATATTAGCGGCAGTGTAGGTGAATTAATGATTTCTTTCTTCAATTTGGAGTCTGATGATTGACAGGTGCATGGCCCTCCCCTGTGTGGAAAATAATTGATGGCATTCAATGCTGAAGCCAGATTGACTGTTTATGACATTAGAGGTTTATGATGATGACCTGCATGTCTCTCCTCAGATGTTATCATATGGTGTCCACTGCTGGACCATTGGTCAGTGCAACTGTACTGCTCCATCTTTTCAGTGATATTGGATTACTATCTGCACACAGGCGCAATTTTAATGGGCATGAAGTACAATCTAGAGGATTTCTTTAGTGGGTGAGAAAATTGATTTGAGTTCTCCTGCAGGGTTTCACACACTCTTGCTAGGCTATATGAGGCGAAGTGCTGTGATACAGTTTCAGTCAGTCAAAGGTAAAGTTACAAAAAAGATTGATTTGTTGACTGGATATTCCATTCAGTCCATATATCATGCCATGTTCCCAATACTGCTCCTTATATGCTGAGACACTTTCCACATTAGCATACCAGTATCAGCTGGTTTGTGTGCAGTCGAAGTAGACCTGACTAGCAATATGAATAAACTGTAGTAAAAGACACATAGAATGAATACAGTGAGGTCTATGTCAAGCCATATGGCCAAGGAAAAACTCCAAAAGAAAAATTCAAACAAGTTAGGGAGGGATCACTCAAAAGAGGAACCACACTCTCAGCGATGGGAGCTATCAATTTGGCAGCATGACAAAATCAGATCAGCAATATGATGTATGATATATAGATTACTGCCACTAAAAGGTTGAATGAAACATTACTAATTTGCTGTCCATCATTGTACCTGTCTATCATCATGTACCTCAGCTTTGGGTCGGACTGATAACTACAACCGAGAAGTTCAGTCCACTACAGACTGCCCGCTTCTTCAATTTTTGAATTCGTTTCAGATAGCGGGCTGCAGAGCACTGAACGGAAAGCAGAGGAGAAACAGCTAATCTTGCACTGCCAGGCAGGCATGGTAGTCTATTTTGCTTGAGTGGCAGCCTGCCTATCTTAGTTAGACCAATGTCTAGATACAAAATGACTACATTTTCCGTTCTATAAGACCTCAGTAGCCCTGTAAAATCTCGAATTTGTCCCAAGCTGTGACCCCTGTGTGTTTTGTGTTGTTTGTATTGGAATTGGTTCCCCAGAACTGAGGTCTTGTTGCTATTGTGTTGTTAGTAAAGCAGAGTGTCCCTTTTAGTACTGCTGTTTGCTCTCATTTGTTTGTGTATGAGCAAGGGAACAGTGTGAAAGGTGGACTTACAGTAAACACACAGCAGTTCATCATTTGAGCATCAAAATTAGTCACAAAAGAAATTAAGAGATAAAGAGACCTACCGCAATGGATTATACCACAGCAGTTTCAAGTTATGTAATCCACCATTCCTCAGATTAAACCTAACTTAAAAAAAACCAGGTGAGAAGGAGTATTGCAAACATATGCAGCAGTGACAGAGAAGGCAAGGTCAACACCCTCCCCTTTTAAATTCACCTCACATACACATCATGGGCATCATAAAAGTAGATATTATGGCACGACAGTCATATTGGATTGAATTAGATTGTACAGATACCATGCTCAGTGTCTTTATCAAAGCAAACTTATACAGTTTAATGTGTTCTTTAGAAACCTAGTTGAAGTTTGGCCAAGCGCCCACTTCAGCGTTTCATTTTGTTAGAGGACATCTAACATTTGTCATCTTGACATCAAAGTACTGCGCTTACTCAAGGGTAGGGCTGGGCAATTAACCGAAAAGGTATCATAACCGACATTTAGAACCTCTCGCCAACTTAATCTTGCTCATGTCGGTTAATTCGGTTAATCCTTTCCCCAGTGTATGTGTGTGTGTGTGTTCATGAGCTGTCCCCTTGAAAAAAATACTCCCTAGTGTTCAGTCACATGCCTCCGCCCCGTCCAACAAAGTCTGTCAAAGTGAAGTTCTCCTGCATTCATTCAAAGCGAAGCTGGCGATATGGATGACACAAGCGCAAAAACACTGAGCCTCAATCTGAGCAGCACATACCTTAAAAAAAAACACCATGTCCACATTTTGGCTTCAATGGAGACGAAACCGAACAAAAAGAAGTCCAATGCAAACATTGCAGAAAAACAATTTCAGCGACCAAATGTAGCGCCACCAATATATTTAATCACTTGGAACACAATCGCATTGCAGAATTTGATGAGTGCATGTGATATCGGCCTGCCTTACTCAAGAGTGAGGTAATAATGCAGTTAACGGATGATCATCCTCACTAA